TGACAACTGTCTCTCTGTAACTCAGTTGGTTAGAGCTTGACAACTGTCTCTCTGTAACTCAGTTGGTTAGAGCTCGACAACTGTCTCTCTGTAACTCAGTTGGTTAGAGCTCGACAACTAGCTCTCTGTAGCTCAGTTGGTTAGAGCTCGACAACAGTCTCTCTGTAACTCAGTTGGTTAGAGCTTGACAACTGTCTCTCTGTAACTCAGTTGGTTAGAGCTTGACAACTGTCTCTCTGTAACTCAGTTGGTTAGAGCTTGACAACTGGCCTCTGTAGTCTGTAGCTCAGTTGGTTAGAGCTTGACAACTGTCTCTCTGTAACTCAGTTGGTTAGAGCTTGACAACTGTCTCTCTGTAACTCAGTTGGTTAGAGCTTGACAACTGTCTCTCTGTAACTCAGTTGGTTAGAGCTTGACAACTGGCCTCTGTAGTCTGTAGCTCAGTTGGTTAGAGCTCGACAACTGTCTCTCTGTAACTCAGTTGGTTAGAGCTTGACAACTGTCTCTCTGTAATTCAGTTGGTTAGAGCTTGACAACTGTCTCTCTGTAACTCAGTTGGTTAGAGCTTGACAACTGTCTCTCTGTAACTCAGTTGGTTAGAGCTTGACAACTGGCCTCTGTAGTCTGTAGCTCAGTTGGTTAGAGCTTGACAACTGTCTCTCTGTAGCTCAGTTGGTTAGAGCTCGACAACTGGCCTCTGTAACTCAGTTGGTTATAGAGCGACTCGCAAGGGCCGCATGCAGGTTCAACTCCTGCCAGAGAGTCTATAGTTGTATTTTTTCACAACTGCTCCTAGTTATAGGTCTAATAAAAGTATAAAATTTACACTCGAGATTTCCATCTACAAAAACCCATCTCTAATCAAACAACTGCATATATATATTGCAGGAAAAGAACTCTATAGTCACATGCAATAACTATACCATGCCATGCACAAATGATCAAATGCATGTTTTCAAGAAACAAGAACTAGTATACATACGTTCCGTTTTCAATCAATTGGCTCACACACTCTTTATGAACTTTGTGGGAACAAGGCAATATCTGACATCCCGTAAATGCATCCTGATAAAAACATTCAAATTAGTATGTTTTTAAGCCTGGTTGACACAATTAAAGTTTCTGTGATCACAGTAGAAATTTTGCACGGGTAAACTCTAAGTTTTGAAGGATTTGTAAGAAATGTTTGAGGAAACCGACTCGGTGTTTAATACATAGACGGATTTTCTGGGGGGGTGCAGGGGGGTGCTACCACCCCAATATTAGCTATAACCCCCCCCCAAACAAAATGTCCACCCCTCCGAAAAAAATTTCAACCCCCCCAATATTCGGCATAATAAATAAATAATTAAATAGTCCCCTCTAACGTGCAGAGTGTTGATGATACAAAATAAACGTAGGAGTACACTCGAACAGAAAAAGACAGTGCAACACTCTGAAACTAATTGCTCCTCGCTTGCATTCACTGGTTTATTGGAGCAATTGTAAAGTTTTGAAACTCTATTATCTTCCCTGAATAGAGTTTGCAGTGCCTTGTCATGCGAATAGCTTGCACGCAAGGAACGTTAGGAATTTTTACGAACACTATTTTTAGTTTTTAATTCTTTTAGGAAATAGACTTGCCTAGATTTAATCTTTACGCCCCAGATATTATTTACATCGGAGTTGCATCATATATTGTACTCGGATTCAAACAACACAATGTCAATGACTTTATAAAAGTAAAAGCATATTGTGTATTGGCCTATTGGGGTTACACTTTACAGGTTCATTTAACTTTAAGTCTTTAACTCTCTCAAGTCTCAACAGACAATCGGACATGCCAAATCCATTGATATGACAAATTGACAACTTCAAAAAACTTTCTTTTGAAGCTAGAAATCATGATTTTTTTCAAATGTTTCCTGGGGTACTTTGTTCCTGCTCTCTAGACTCCCCTCGCGGCTCTAGTGCTCCACCCCTAGAATATAGACCTTACTGGGGTTTGGTGACACTTTGTGTTGCTTCAGTCACCTGCTCATGGCTCACCCCCCTAAAATTTCTGGCACCACCCCAGTAATAAATATGAAAATCCGTCTATGGTTTAATACCGAGTTCGTTCCCACAAACATTTCTTACAAATTCTTCCAAACCTAGAATTTACCAGTGGAATATTCCTACTGTGTTCACCAGAAACTTTGATAGCGTGCAAACCAATCTTAACTCTCTATCACATTACACAAAAGTCTACTTGAGTTGATTGCGCTGAACTTACTTCGCCACAGATGCAGCACGAATCATGGGCAGATCCTTCACGACATCTGTGATTTCCACGAAGATTAACATCCAAACACACACCACAGGTATCACAATGAAACGAGCGATCTCCATGTACCCTAGAACAGAAGAGAAAATATTACCGTGATTTCCTAATTACATCACTTGGGAACAAGCTACAGAAAAAACCTGGGGCAGAATTTAAAAATACTGCGTAGTGTAAATGGTTACGAGGTGCTGAAATGAATGTATTTTGCGCGTGGAGCGGACTTTTTCTTTGTCTTTGCTAATTACTTCCACCCGAGAAATCACAAGACAAAGAAAAATTCGGCTCCACGCGCAAAATTCCGCCTAATGGAACACCGGCTTAATATATTATGTTGTATGTAAAGATTTTTAAGATTGCAAAGCGTACTAACATCTCCTGCAATCGTCGAGTCTTGCAAGGAAGCGTCACTGGATCAAAATCACGCGATCCTTCAACGTTTCAATTTTCTAACCTGCGAACGGGCATACCCTGCCCTACGAGACTAGGAAATTCACTACGGCCTGCAGAGGAGGTAGATTAGGTTCTACTTTGTGTTACGCTCGTTGCTACGAACACGTTATGCGACTCAACGTTTGCAAGGTGTGTTACACCACGCAACTTGTGTAACAGCGCATTAAGTAGTAGAGAAAAAATCTGGAATGCAAAAGTATTCATTTATGGTACATACCTACAGATACCACATTTCTCGCAATGAAATGGGCGATTCTGCTCTCCTGTCAAATGCTGACATATTGCACAGAAATACTCAGCAAACTTCAAGTTGCATTCAACACAATTAGGCGATTCTTTGGGGAAATCTTGTACTTTACCACACCTACGACATTTCAGTTTCTTTATATCACGTGATCTCAGTTTTGTCTCACCACACTGACTCGATGCATTATGACAACGGTGACAGGGCCAGAAAGGTTCACAGCATGCGAACTGAGCATTACAATAGCGATCATAATGTGCACAAGAATATTCTCTTCTCATCACCCATACTAGAGTGTCTTCCGCATTCTCACCTACGGGAAGTGTATCCTCCGCATTTTCACCCTGGGGAAGTGTATCCACCGTATTTTCACCTGGGGCAGGTGTATCCTCCGTATTTTCACCCTGGGGAAATGTAGTCTCGGAATTTGTACTCTGGGGAGTTAAACCATCTGCATTTGTACTCTGGATGGATGCATCGTCTGTATTTCCGGCAGATGTTTCTCCTTCGTTGTTAGATACGTTTTCGGGGATTTGCTCCCGGGTATGAATACCGTCCTCTATTTGTTCCTGTACAGGATAAGCTGTGGATGGTGCAGTACGTTGAGGTACATTACGGTATCTTCGTTGTAAAGGTCTGTCTCTTGCATTACTATTACCAGCCACATTAGGTGGAGATCTTGCTATCTGTCCATCTGTCACGACCACCTCGCGCATTTCACTTACAGAGGACTGGGTATTAGCTCCAGAGGAAGACCGTAAACTACTTTGGTCAGCAGTATTGTCATTTCTTCCTCTGTCTATAGTGAAATCTCGCATTTGACGTACCAACGAGCGGGCTCTGCTTTCCAAATTACTATCGTCGCTGCGAATTCTTCGTTCTCTAACTGTATCCGGGTTCAATAAACTATAGTCGCCATCTTGAATGCAGTCCAGTAAATGAACGAGATCAACACGTCCGATTTCATAGAATCCATTTCTAATGTATTCCGTATTTCCAAGTTGTATCATAGCACGATTTTCTAATTCTTGGAAAAAGTCGATGTTGTCCGAGATATTTCCAAGAACTCTTAAAGGAACGTCACGACCGACATAGCGACGTAGTTCCATCCAGTTAGAAGGAGTCAAACGTACCACAATGCACTGCAGTAGGGTACGTAAGGGAATTGAACCTCCAGCTTGAAGAACATGTAAATCATCATTATTTGCAGACGTATTTCTAGAAACTGGAGCTGGTGCAACATTGGAAGGAGCTTCTATCTTACTTGCCGAATCATCTTCAGCAGTTCCACAATGTTTATGTATCAACGTATTCACTTTTTTTAATATCTTACGCTTTTGATAAACTATCTCGTTCATCTCCTTAAAGAATTCTTCCTGACTAATAATATGTGACGTAATAACGGTTTTCACGTCATTTTCTGTTTCACCCAAAGGAACTCGAGTGTTTACTATGCTGGCTGCATCGCTATTTAACTTTGTAAGTTGCCCAAAAAGAGTTTCAAGTTGGTTAAAATCTTCGACAGGGACACTGGTTTGCTCGTCAGTTATGGAAAGATAAGTTTTCCCACGACACATCCAAAAGCATACCCATTGCTCAGTGCTCGCTGAATGTAAAGTATTTCTCAATGTTGAGAAACAACTGGAACAGTCACATGAGTTAACGCTTGCAGCAGATGCTTCTTCGTTGCTTGAAATGGTATCAGATGACGGGAAAACTTGATATTTTAATGATGTAAAATAGTCCAAACACTGAATATCTAATGATTTTAAACCAGTTTCATATGTTTCTAATGATTCTGCTACACCACGTTTCACTAAGACGATACTGTTATCATGTTTTGTTATACATCTCCATTTCAATTTCTTCATATTTTCACAAAAGATAACGACGGACTCCTGACTTTGTTCTCCTTGAAATATTTTTGGGTTTTGTTGTACAAAAAGACCGCGGCATTGTTCAGGTTTGGACTCCTCTTCAAATTCCATGGACTCCTGACTTTTTGTAGTGGCAGTTGCGTCACTTGCTTCCATAATACACACTGGTTTACGAATTAACCTTAGATTTAAAATAAAAAATTCCAATCACAATTTAATAATCAACTAAACATTTCGGCGTATGCAAATAAAAGAACATCAAAAGAACACGTGTTTTTACAAAATACGTGTCAACGTGTGATATGAACAAGAACAAAAGGTGCATGCTGTTTTAATTAATTTATATTGCGTCATAGTTGCCGACCCGACTATATTAATTAAGGGTTCATATAAACTATGTGTTCAAAGTGTTGTTCGGGAGAAAGTTTACGAAAGGTTTTCACACCGAGACTAACACTGAATCACAAATGAATGAAGATTCTTATCAAGTCTTCAAGAGTTTATAAGGTGTTATCAGAATAAGGTCAACCTATTACGCCAAAACGCTACTACGCTAGCAATGACAATGTATTATATATTTATATCATATTTGACGATGGGAAATATTATGTTTTAAATAATGACAAAACGTTACCTTTTCTTGTTTATACACTTATATTCTATTTTTTGGCTACTTGGTTACAACGTTTTTCACCACCGATCTTCCATATTATTTCTCCGTAAATGTGATGAAATCGGAATTGTGCATGATTATATATGGGAAGCAAAAGTGCTGTGTAATATATCAGACTGTTCAATTACGTTGCAGCACGTGGTTGCAGCCGTGGTTGCAGTGACTCACATGTTTAATATTGTATTTATAAATTAAGCAAACAGTCGCTTGAACATGCTTAGACATAATGACACAGGCCAGGTAATGATCAAAGTCTGCTTGTAGCTGGGTCCAGTCACGCATTTTGTGGTCGCAATCAGTCCACAGGAGGTTTTGCATACTTGAAGGTTTGTGGTTGTCTGACGTGTTAAGGAATAAGGACTGAGTTGCTAAATACATAGTTTAGTAACACAAAATAAGGTGGAATGCAAGAAAGAACTACAAGACAAAAGATGATGCTATTGCCTTTGTAAATACCCAAAGAACTAGAAAATAGCATGAGAATTAGGCAACCTTGAATAAAACGTTTACAGCTGAATATAATAATCCTAAATCGATGATTGGAAATTGTTGTTTTCTGAAGTAAAGTGCAATAGCTGCCATCATACAAACATATCTTTGATACCATACATACATACATTTATGAAACTGATCTAGTGCATTTGGTCGAGGCTGTGTGAATATTGCCAAGATGAACTTTCTTGAAGAATAATATAGAGCAAACAGTCATTAACATACATCACACCAGATCTGACATGATGTCTTTGCCTTTGGTTATGAAATATAATACATTTTCAACTAAACTCCAAAGGTAGATCAAATAAAGGATCAATTGTGGGAGACATTGAATCAACATCTGTGATTGGGAAAAAGGTTAGAATCATCGGCTTTATTCACTGGAATTCAAGAGCCTTCTTAGTTTTATAGCACTTTTAGAAATAGTCCAAAGGTCAATATTAGAGAAGGCACAGATTGTCACACAATATTATGTGATGTTTTGCATAAAAACCATAGTAGAAACCGTAGCAGAAACAACATCTGTATTAGAAAGCCCTTTTTGATTATTAAGTCTTGTACACTGTAATACATACATTGGTAAATACTGCAATAGCAGTTTTAGTCATAATTAATCCAAATTAATACATGCGTCAAGAATTCTGTTTCAGGAAATACTGGAAATACTGCAAAATCCTGCTTTACTCACTTACTCCACACTCTTCAAATTAAATAAATAGTAAGACTATATTAACTATTTGCCTGTTTACCCCTACCCTAGTTGAGAGAAAAATTCCACTGGCGCTGTTAATCTATGTCCATGATTAATACGTAAGGGGGAAACAGTTTTCCCCTTTTGACACTGCATCAGTATGGTCTGATTTCACAAGCAATAAGACGTCTAAATGTAACAGTAGATGTTCAGTATAATAAAAAGTATCAATGATTATTTGGTAGGTTTGACAAACTGAATGAATATTATCAACTTCTAGTTCAACAAGACACTATATATGCGTGGCAATGGCAGATATTCTGCGCTCGTTTACAAGATTACACAAGTCTGTTTTTGAGGATTGGATTCGTGTCCGGAATTTGCACACAATATGATACTACATGGAAGAGATTATTCCCAAAATTTAAAGGTGTGTGCAAATTTTCCCTTGCTTTAACATGCTTTTATTTTCAGTTCTGCATGTGTGAACATTTTGTTGACATCTCATACCTGTGCCTTTATTGGTTTATATTCAGTGTGTAGTTAATACACATTTTGCAGACTTGTAGCTCTACTTACAATGTACTGGTACATACATTTTTAATCTTCTGTTAAGAGTTTGTATATAAAGGGTATATATGCATGTATTACCTAAAAATATGTAACTTATTGCCAGCGCATGTTTTATATATTTTGAGCAATAATACTTCCTGAATTCTCGCTGCTTTATATATATTTTATTGGTATAGTAAAACAACGTTTGGAATACAGTGGGCTGGTTTTAAAGCCTATAACATCCTCGCAACAGCAAAAAGCTGCAAAATAGTTCAATAACAGTTAAGCCAATTTTTACACAAGGTTTGCCTGTTCCATGCAACCTGCTTACAACTTGAGTTGCACTGTGTAAATCAAGCACACAACTCAAATACATTGTCGTAAATGAGTTGTGTGCTTCATTTGCACAGTGCAACTCAAGTTGTAGGCAGGTTGCATGCAAGTTGTAGGCTGCAAAAATAATTTGCGTAGTGCAAATTACTTTAGTGGCCATATACCAAATATATCAAGGTTCAACAAATTTACTGTAATTTACCAAGTACAGTAAAAATTTCCCCCATCCTACTATAAAAAGTGCTTACTAAGCATCTTTATACCGATAATAGGGGCAGGGTATTACCCTTTTTAAAAACCAACTTCGTTGCAAATAAATATCGATAATAATGCAAGAAGCCAATTGTATTATTTTATAGCAGGATTTTCTTTACCTTTGGTGTGTCTTTGTCACAGCTTTGTACTTTAATGTGGTTCTGCTTTAAGCTTATCAAACTGTGTCTACAGAATATTAGATCAACAATGACTTAAAGACTGGATGATTTCTCTTGCTAGAAACTTTGTAAAACTACTAGCTGGCCATAGATACTCGCACGTTTAAGCCCATCCCCAACAGGCTTCCAAATGTCCACGATGCTCCCTTTTCACCCCGTGCGCTCGCTCGCGTTAACAAATATGGAGCGGTGTTCGGTTCAAAAATATGGTAATCGTTCCATGTTTCGCGCACCAATATAGTAAACGTTATGTAATGGATATTATAGTGTACTGAAAAGTTAACTGGATACCTCCATACACATATATACACACCCTCACCCTTAAACCTAACCCCTAAGGCCAATGGAACTGTAGATTCTGTTTTACCGTCAACCGCCCGCATGTGCTTGAAACTACCGCAAGAATATTTCATTATTCTTAATTATTTTCATTATTTGTCATTATTTTTAATTCTACGCATCGAAACTTTCAAATATACATCAAATCTTCGATATAAAAAGCCGTACAGCGCTGATGTATGATGGATCGGTCTTCATTTGTTCGGTATACACTCGGAAATTCGCGAGTCTGACATGTGCAAATTCGAAAACAATGGCGTGACAAAGGAATTTTCAGCAAAGGAAAGCCCAAAAATGATAAAAGAATGCTGGACAAAAGTGCTGATGGTCGAAATCAAAAGAAAACGATTTAAGGATATTTTTGGTCGGAAAATAGATAACAAAAATAATGAAAAATGAATAATGAAAAAAAAACCCCATCAGATTTTTTAAAATCTCGGACGGTAAACAGAATCTACAGTTCCATTGGCCTAACCTAACCCCTAACCCTAATACCTAACCCCCAAACCTATATTGGTGCGCGAAACATGGAATATCGTGTCCTACTATTTACTGCTCGAGACATAAGCCACATACGTTACTTCGTTTTGGGGGCTTCGTTTTTGACTCATGAATGTTGCGTCTTTGTTGTTACTTCTTATAAAAAAAAAGCTTTGCGCACAAAAAATTTTAATCGGAAAGAAAATTTAATCACACAGAATTAAAATATGGAATAATGGATTGCTTGCACACACGTAGGTCAACGTGAGATCTCCGAATCTGATCATTTCTCCTCCATTCGTTATTAAAGTAAAATTGAATATTTAACCATTTCATCTGTGACTGTATGGAATCTCTGGTATGGAATCAAGCATAAAAATCATTCACGACAAACACTTCACGACACGTTCGGACAGTTACAGCCCGATATGGAAACCAGGCTTATGTCCCCCGGGCAACCCCAGGCAACATTCCCTCCGTATAGGCGGGAATTTGATGGCCCGGTCGGGCATTTGACCACTTGACAACAACATGCTCAGCGGTTTTCCTAGAGACCCACCGGCTGGATCGAGCCTACGGTTTTCCCTAATATGTGTACACTCTAGCGTTCAGGAGTTTTCTATTTTACGTCTTTTTGATAGTTTAAAAATTGCTTCTGAATCACAAATATCAATCATAGATATATGATACAATATGCCCAGTTGAACAAAAAGAACTGTCTGGCCTATTTTTCGTTCTTTTTAATCTTGAAATACTTCTTCAATTTAATTTTGGCCAAAATTCCAGAACCAGGACTACCCCTATAGCAGGGCATTTGACTGTGGTTTGAACGGTTTCTGCCTGTTCGGGCGGGCATTTGACCAATTATTTTTTCAAAAGTCAAATTCCCTGGGGGTTGCCGGGGGGGGGGCTGATCGCGGTTGGATTTGACTCGTACATTAATTAATGAACAGTCTCGCTAATTCTTTTCAATATATTTGGAAATATACTGATACGACTAAGAGTAATTTATAATCATGATGAATTGACAATTAAGAACATGTATAACGGTTTTATTAGTAAAGGCAAATAGGAGTAAATAGAGCTTCAATTTTTGCTTTAAAACGAGCAAGGAAATCACTTATATATAAATTCACTTCAACAAGGACGTTTCTAGCTTCTTAGAAAATGAAACGAATTGTCTATTTACGTGCAGTCTACACGACTATAGACAATTCTGGTTGGATTATACTAAGAAAGAAAACGCAAACACACCTGCTTCAGCTGTATTTCTTTACAATTTTGGTGATGTATTGGATAATTCTTCTTGAAATACCCACACTGTAACGAAGTAAACTGGCCAGAGCCCAGAGATTTCCGTGCGTTATGCCTATCTTTGTGATTTGAGACGAATATTATTCATACCCCTACGGTAAAATCACACAATAACTCGCAGATGTGACAAATATCGACAAGCGGTTTCCTCGTATTGACAATTTAGCGCTGAAGGCAAGCCTAGAAGGTTATACCTGCTGGAAATGAAATGAAATGAAAAGGAAATTGATTCAAAGCGAAAGTAAAATAACAAACGTATAGGTTTACCTTTAATTTCCTGTTAATACAATGCCAGAAATAACGAAATGATGTTTTGAATTAACGAGGTAGAACAACCTGAAGGAAATGAGATTTTAATGTGGTATATCTTGCAGTATATATAAAAAGTAGAAGAATTTATTTAATACCTTTGTATTTCGCCAAAATAAAATATGTATGATAGTAGTATAGTTTCGCTTACCTCAGCAGTTCCCATGACTACTACATCTTTCTTCGTCGAAAGGAGGAACTTAAGGCTCTTTGCCACTCATCGCAAAAGCCAACTCGCAAGCTCGCTGCAGGTACTTTCATCCAATCACAATGCTCGAAAGTTTATTTTATTTACATGCAAGAGCCTTAAGACGGTAAAAACCTAAATAAGTGGACCACGTACGTGCATACGTCCACTCGCCCACGTTTCGACCACAACCAGGAACTTACACGTTGCGATTTGTCGTGTACGTTTCGTCAGAATACAAATCATACGCCACAAATTGCAACGTGTAAAGGACCTTTACCAATCGAAATTTGTCAGTCACCTGAAGATTTCTTCATTGGATGAAACAGGCTGCAGTGGCAACTTCGAGGTAAACAAAACTATATTATTTATTTTATCGTTATAATATAAAAACATATATTTACAGAATAAATATAGAAATACAGACTAATGTGTCAACTCTAGTTGTGAGAACACAAATGAACACCGTGATTCTCTACTTTCCTAGCGACCTCATGCATTACGATGCGGCGATCCTATAATCATCCCTATATACCCCACTCTGCTACCTATGCTACCTAAGTGATGGCGTATCTTTAGGTATTTTGTCTGACAACTGCTGTCCAGTTTGATTCATGGCTCCGATGATCTCTCTGCTTTCTTGCGAAGTTTCTGTCACTTGACCAACCAGTCTTGAAATCATCACTCGACTTGACTTCAATTGCAAGATATAAAAGAATAAATCAATGTTGTAATTATTATAAATTAGTAGCTTAGATTTAGTGTAGAATAGAATAGTTTATTTTAACTTTGTATAATTTGAAAATGCATGTTAATAATGTAATAATCATAAAATATAGAAGTAAACTGGAACATTTGAATAACAGGAAATACGAAGAAGAAAAGGAATTTTTTAGTATTTTGGTAAAAGATGGAATGTACGAACGTGAGAGAGGTTATGTAGGTTGATTTGTGGTCAACCAAGTGAAGGATTGTGCCAAGATATAGATAAGGAGTATCAGGATGTTTTCTACATGTGCTTCACACATTGATATTTCTCTGCGAAAAAGTTCCCATAGCTGGAACAACAAGATAGTAAATATAGGAGTGAGAAATGGACGTTAGGCAGGTTGATAAAGATTGTAAGAGATTGAGTGTAAGCGAGAGAGAAAGAACGAAAACGATTGTTTAAGAGAATATAAGATTTCGGAGAACGACAGTATATGCAGTCCCATTTGAGAACCAGTGGAGGAATAAATCTCGCTAAGAGAATTTATAACAGTAATAGTTGCTCCAATCAAGGGTCACTTATAATACTTATCTAAGGCGTGGAAATATGAATAGAACAGAAATCTATTTTACAATATGTAGTCACTTGTTTCTTTGTGTTTCCTTCGTGAAAATACCCGAAAACTTTATAAATATGTTAAACGATGGAAAACACCCGTCTGTACACAATTGGGGGCACAAAATATAATACATTTCAGGAGATATTGATTAGTTTTGGATATATATCTGGTTGACGGCTACAGTCCCAGCCCTTTTTCATGTTATACTAGATACATTGTTCTCTACAACCCACCTTTATTATTTGTTTTGCTCTCTCTGTTGCCTCTTCAGCCCGTCTTCGCTCTTCGTGAAGAGCTTTGTATTGATGTACATTATCTTTCTGTAGCACTGACTGGATCTTTCTGAAATACACGATGTTGTTAAAGAAGATATATAAAGAGTGAATCTGCCATGCTTTCTATATTTCAGTAGACCCTTCCAAGGTTAACGACGCCATAATGAAACACAATAGTGCAAGGGGTGCAAACACAATGGAATTCCCTATAGGGAAATTTGCAAGGAGTGCAAATACAATGGTGAAAACAATGCATTCAAGATCGCCACCTTGGAAGGGCCTATATTTAGTCTTCCATCGAGCTTCATGGTACCCATATTTAAACTCTCTCACTTTCTTTTTTCACAACTTATAGTTGATGAGAGTTGCGACTCTCGTTCGCGTTTCACAACCAACTCTCATGAACTCTCATGCAACTCTTGTTCTCGTTTGACCGAGACATGAAAGTTGACAAAACTCTCTCGCGCTTCTCAACTCTCATCAACTCTCAAGCAACTCTCATGCAACTCTTGTTCTCGTTTGACCGAGGCATGAAAAATGACAAAACTCTCTCTCAACTCTCATTAATTCACATTCTTGTTTGACCAGACTTTACCTTGATTTGTTTAGCTCCGATTGAAGGTTGGTAAATTTATTCTTAAACCACTCATGCGCCTCTTGCAAATTAACAGCAACCTTGAAAACATAATTTATCGTATTGTTTTGAATTGAAAAAAGTTAAATTTTACCCATCTTTTCCAAAAACGCTCATTGTCCTAGATTTAAATACAGTGATATTGGTTGCACATTACTTACTGTTTCAATGGTCTTGGAATAATTTTATAGATCAAATAATACAATACAAAACAATAAAAAAATGAACTGACTGGATTAGTAGCTTGAAGTCTTCTCTTTCAACCCTTAGACTATAGGGAGGGGGGAGACAAGTCCCCCAGCCCAAATGTTGGCCCTCTATAGTGAATTATGTTGCCCCCTTTCCCAGTGAAGGTCCCTTCTGTTACAAATATGCAAAAAAGGGAAGAATAACTTAGTTGAGAAGAGTGTTTTAGTATCTTTGTCTAGCCATGCATAAAAGAAGACTAAACTAGTTGATTAAACATAATATAAAACTGACAAACCTGCTGGGATTCATAATTCGCTTCTTCTAACTGCCGTTCAGCGACATCCTGTTTCACCTTCAACTGTTTTTGACGATTTTTCATTTTCTGCGAATAAAAATGTAAGCACTTTTAGTACAATATGTAAAAACATAAAATACAACTCAATTCCACTTACGTAACACTGCACCTCAACTTCTTTTCTACGTAATTTTTCTTTCTTAACTTGCTCATCTTTTTCCCTAAAAATGTAAACAATTAGTAAATATAAAGAACAAAATTAAAATTATTAAAAACAATTATATGCTACATACGGAACTGAATTTTGTCCACATTTTAAAATATTTTCTGTAGCTGTCTGACTATATAATTTTATTCCCGTCGTATGCGAGAAAAGTGTTTCTAGTTTGACTCTAACAAACATTGTCTCCAAGTAATCCGGTCTCCTCTGTAGAAACACCGGAACACTAAATAATGACATTTATTTTTAAGGTTCGTTTACACTTGCACTTTTTGCTACGATTTTAGATGCGATTTTCATCTTCTGATGGATGTGAACGAGTGGATAAGTTATGAATGTTCAGATGAGGGTACATGTACTCCGAACATTCATAACTCCTCTACTCGTTCACATCCATCAGAAGGAGAAAATCGCAGCAAAAATTGCAAGTGTAAAGGCCATGTTACACGTGCAATTTTTCCTGCAACTTGCAATGCAATTCCACTCTTGAGAAATGTAAAATTGCCAGATACGAGTCTTCATTACACTCCGCTGATGTTTTCTCAACATGTCGAAAATTCTTCACAGATTTCACTAATTAACATCTCTCAAGAGTAGAATTGCATTGTAAGTTGCAAGAAAGATAGCACCGTGTAACATGGCCTTAAACGAAGGAGAACAATTTAGAAGTGATATCACCTGCAAAGTAAACTGGTTACTTGCTGCGTTTCAGCTAAGTTTCTGAATTCTTCTTGGAGCTCTGTTAACTGTGATATAAATTCCTGAAGAGAACGAGCCTAGAGCAAGAGAGAACAAATGTGACCGAGTTATTTTCCACGATAATTGCAATTCATTTCAACACTTGTATAATGCCATTACCTTACCTGTTCCATGTTATTTTGCGTATATTCCGACTTGAGTTTTTCTAATATTGCTAGTTCACGACTCATCGTCTAAAAGTATTAACAACTGTGTTGTTCCAAGGTTTACTTATAATCATGTAAAGTTCCCATGGTTGGCACCAAACTGGCACCATGCGGTTTTTCTGAGCACAGTTCCCTTCTGTAGTAATACTGAACCAACAAGATATAACCCTTACTGGACTCCAAAGCTAAAGATTTTAGACTGACCTATATTCAGTATACTGTTTAGGTTTTCTCCTGTAGTAATACTGGAACAATAGAGATGGATCTCTAGGAAGATAAGTTGAGAACTGACATAAAGGTATCCAGGATTAATAAAGTTAGTTGTTCTGAAGAACTAAGTTTCCAGAAATTTGAATACAATATATTCTTACATGAATTCTGTCTCTTGCTGCTTCCAATTCAGTTTGTTGCTCGGAATGCAGTTTTAAACATTCCTCTAACTCATGTTTAGTTTGTCTAAATTTTTCTCTCAATTTCTTGTGTCGAGTTTCGGTTTCCTCTTGCACACTTTTCAACGTCACGTTCTCGTCTTTCAAAGAATTTTTAAGTTTTACCATTTCCTGGAAATCTTTACGTAACTATAAAAATATGATATTAAAGAGATTTTGTATTCAAGGTAAATCATCTTTTCTTAGCTCTAAGTGTTGAATTGCAAAGGATGCAGTTCAAACGCGATGACTCTGACTCAGAAAGCGTTGCGAAGCAGCAGTTAGTGGGTAACTTCATAACTGTTCACATTTATAGGAAAATTAAACCTCTCATTTATTTGCCACCAAATACAGGACTACTACATATAATTAAAAAAATTAGCATTCTCACTCTGATAACTGCAGGTTAACAGCCATCTGTTGTGCAGAATACTCGGTCACAAAATAAATCATGGGACTCAGTGAAACCCAGTGAACGCTACTATGGTGAAACCCACTCGTCCCCAGTGACCTCCAAATATATCTAGAAAAGTGAAGCCAATGTCTATGAAAGCCAATGACGTCCAATGTCTATGAAGGTTGTAAACAGTTTCAATACCATTTCTCCCGGCTAATTCCAGGGTTTTTTTCTAACGGACCATGTCACTAATCAAATTCATAAAATCATATTATTTTTCTTTAAATCGAAGTCAAAACACAAAATTTCGACGCACCCCTGGCAGCGTCGTGTCCGACCGCGCAGATAAAAACATTAGAAAGGGACTGAAACTGACGTGTAATATTTCACTTTTTGAACTCGAGTTCTCACTCCAGATAAAAATAGAGCCCAGTGCTCGTACCTTAGAAATTTCCTTCTTGTGATGCTTCTTCACTTCCTTCATCTCTGCATCAAATTCCTTTCTCACGTCATCCACTTTTGTTTCCATAGCAACAGTCTCTATTTCCATCTCCCGTTTCACGTTAACCGAAGATGCTCGTAGTTTTTTAATCTCGTTATTTTTCTGTTTTAATTCATTCGCCAATCCTTCCAAAGATTCCTGAAGATCTTTGTTAGTTTTCATCAAAGGTTCTACAGTGTTCAGTAACTTCTCTCGATCTTCTTCCAATAACTGTAGTGTTTTACGAACAGCGTTCACCTCGTTCGATTCAGTTTCATCATGATGCATTAGTTTAGATTTTAATAATTCCACTTCGTTATTTAAATCCATGATCTTTGTCTCGGTCTCTAATCTGGGTATTAGAAGTAAGTACACTGGTCAGTAATATTGGTGAAGGAGCGGGTCATTAGAAATCCCGGGATGGGGGAGGGGTTGACAATCCACCCGAAAAATATGACTGGGAAGATAATCTTGCAGCCAGTCACAGTAATATTCAAAAAAATACATCACCTTTCTTTTTCAAGACACATTAGTCGACTATCTCGTTTACCCAGTTCAGTTTGAAGACTTTCGCACGAAGACTGGAGCTGAGTATGTGACGTAATCACAGCGTCAAGTGTTCCCGCCAATTTCTTATTGTCTTCTTTTGATTGGATAAGAGCGTCTTGTAGAGAATCAATCTGCCGGAAATCAATATGGGAATAATTATTTGGAGAAGTAGTAAGAAAATTTACTGTGAAAATTAGTGCATATTAAGTGCTCATTTTTTTTATAAAACTGCCATCCTCGCCCTAAGGCCAACGTCGCGTTGTGAAGAGCAAGAGGGCCTGGGGACGAAGATGGTTCAGTAAGCTCTATATATTTAACTGGAGCAAGAACTTCAGTCATTCGGTCTATGAGAAAAGTGAAGCCAAGGACATCCTCGCCCTAAGGATAACGACTAGGCTTGACTTTAACGATTGTTGATTAAATAACCTGTTTCGAATATTTTCTTTCGTACAGATCTGTTTCGCGTACGACTCGTTCTGTTGCTTTCATTGCTTCATCTTTTTCTCTCATCAATAACTCAGTCTGTTTTTCTTTGTCAAACGCAAAACCCTTCAACTGAATGGAAAAGAAAATCAATTATTTTTATTTTAATATGTGATGTGTCCGATGACAAAATACAGAAGTGACAGGAAGTGTCGCAATTGAATCTACGTCCTATAATCGATAACGGTAAAAATTATGTGAAAAATAACGTTTCTTATTTCACATTCTGCATTTCCAAGTTTTTGTTTGTATTCTTTTAAATTTGTTTAGTTCTGGTTAAGAAATGAAAATAATAGATAAGAAAACTTCCCCATGTATCAAAACTTGAGAACCCCTCCACAATACTAGACGGTCGCTACATCAACACCACTTTTGGCCTTAGAAATTCAAAATATACTTAAAATTTCAAGAAATACCATTGTCACTTTAATTAAAGTCTCATTTCATAAATTTGTACTCATAAAAAATCAGACACGCAAATCCTTTCGGTGCATGTGGCCAAATTTAGTGGTCGGAAAAGCACCCTCGAAGCAGTTGAAACCAGAATTTTTGCTGATAAGTGAGGAATGTCGGTTTTAAAACAAGGTGGCATAAATGTAAGCTTGCTGAAAGATATTGCCAAAAGCAAGTTGTTTTCTTTGCTTTAAGAAGTTTTAGGTACGGATGTGCGCCAGTTATTAATCTCATTTTATTAAAAAAATAAATTAGTTATAATAAGGTCAACAGACAAACCTCTCTCATTTGCTTGTCCACTGCTTTAGCATTCGATTTTAACTTTTCATTTTCTGACTGTTTCCAAGAAATAAAAAATATAGTGAATTTTTCATAATAAAAACACGATTTACAATAAAGGCATTAGCAATGTAGGAATTATATATCATCTAAATTTCTCATTACTTGTAGAACGCCTTTCTCATAAGCAAGTCTTCGTTTATCCTCTACCATATTCTGTAGGGCATTGTTAATACGATCATGATTTGTCTGCAGAGATAAAGATGAAATATAAATTATTTTAATTATCGGTTATTAACGTCAGTGTAATAGATAGTCGGGAATCGAAGATAATTGAAGAACATGAACAAGTATATTCGTAGAAATTTTGGAGTGGCTATTAAATTTCCCACATTCTGATTGTTCGGAGTTGAACGTTCACTAGCGACTGTAGCTGTGTTGTTTTCTCTGGGAAATTTCTACTAACTAAGCAGGCATCACACATTCTTACAGGGAGCATTTCAAGCTCCAGATTAACAAAATAAAGGTTTGATATTCCAACCATGTTTTAACTTAAATAAAATACATGATAGTGTTGGGAAAGCATTAAGAACAGCTAACCAAGATCACGTGACTGTCAACTCTCATGCATCCTCGTTTCATCCAGGCTTCAGTATGGCTTAGTGAACATAGGTTTGTAATCACGTCGCTTTCGGTGACTAATTGTTAAATAGCTAGTCATGGACATTCGTAAATGTCACTGCATAAAAGTCTCAATAAATCCAATTAAATTAAAATCTCAATAAATCATGAAAATTTCTGTCAGGCATAATAAATTCCGACAGTAGGGGCATTTCCTTCCGTTTCCAGAGAGGTGACTAGAAAGTACCTGTTGTTGTTCTAGTTCAATCAAACGTCTTCTCAATGTTTCACAATCCTCCTGCAGTCTTTTATTTTGTTCACGCAATGTATCGTGTTCAACCTTAAAATACAAAGCATCAAAATGCTGATATGACGTGCATATAACTTAAAGGAATGTATAAGAATAGTGATTTGAAAGAACTTCAAAGAAGCATAATATATTTTCCAAAGAACCATGCAGTATCTCAGAAGAAATTCAACAGAACAGTTATCAAGATAACGATACGATACTGACTTCCTTTGTCTTTTGCTCATGAACTATTACGGACTTTAGGAAGTGCATGCGATATTTTTAGTATGCTGTTTTACACGTCAGGTCTAGGTTATACTTAAGCCTGGTTTCCATATGGTCGAAATGGTCGTAAAATTAGAGTCACGATCTTTCTCAACGGCCAGTTTATAATACTTTATACCTGTAAACCACAAGTATTCTCTAGTTCTAAACACTCCGCGTATTTTCATTTCTAAAATGTTGTATATCGGCTGATGAGAAAGATTGTGAGGCATTATATTCTCTATGCTGCATTGTACTGTATAATTGTACAGTACTACTGTATATTCTAACATATTTTACACTACGTACTCTATACTGTACTGGACTTTCTACACGAGGTTTTACTATATTCTACTCTCACATTGTACTACACTATCTGCCTTATATACCTGCATCTGTATTTGAGTGCAATCCAATAATACCTTTCTGTCATCAAGCTCAGTTACAAGAGAAATTTTTTCAGAGACAAACCGGTCTAAATCTCGTTTGATCTGTAGGAAATAACAAAGAAATAATAAACAACAACAACAGCAACAGCGCTAATGCAACAACAACAGCGCTAATGCAACAACAACAGCGCTAATGCGACGACGACGACAACAACAACAACAACAACCAACGACATGCAACAATAACAAACGCCTATACCTCGACCAACACTTTGTCATTTTCTTCAATCATTTTTTCGCGATCTGTAGTTAACTTTTGCAAAATATCTTTTAGATTCAACAATTCCACATCCTACAGCAACAACAATAATCTTTATTGAACAATCAAATCTCTACCTCTTAAGAACTCAGAACATCAGATCTGTGGTTATCTTTTTAGGTACAAATATTTCAACGTCTCACAAATTAATCAGTTAATCCTATTTATAAAATCAGAAACCGTGGGGATCCAGCATTGGGCGTGACGATGAATACAAAACTCAATTTGTAGAAGAAGAAGTACATCTTTCCCTGTTTACCAGTTGTCAATGAGTGCTGTAGAGAAATCTTCCACAAACGTTTTTTTATTATTTATACCTTGTCCTTCAACAATTTCTGTTGCAAGCTCTTTTCTTCTTTAAGCTTTACACTGTTTACGAAAAACAATAATAATATAGTCATTGTTTTGGTGTTGTTTTTAAAACACAGTGTCAGTGTCCTTGATGGATCGCTCTTATTGTTTTGGTACTGTTTTTTAAACAGTGTCGTTGATACTGTAGATCACGTTAATCACGCTCCTACTATTGTTCTACTATAAAAATACGGTTAGGGAAAGAAAAATAAGAACATTATTAAGCAAAGAAGAAACAGATTCCAAAGAAGAAGGTAATCGTGATATTCAATATATAAATAAACCAACTATAAAAAATTGTCTTGTTTTAATTCATATTTCGAAGATGACTGTATTCTTGAGAATGTGTTGGTATTACCCGTCCCAGTGGACTTTTCTTACATTTCTTTCTCTTTTTTCAAGATTGCTTGCTTTTCTTTCCTCAGTTCTTGTAGGATACTTTCTTTGGCTTCATCAAGTAATCTATCTTGCTCTTTTAGTTTCTCACCAAATATTCGTCTCTCGTTTTCAACAGAGTCACGATGTTTTGCGAGCAAAATCTTGTTATCGTTTTCCGTCAAAGACAGAGCTTCATTCGCTTCTTTGTAGCGCTTTTCCAAGTCTAAATTTACCTCCTAACATCAAATAAACAATTGCTTTTTACAGAGCTTGATCCTTTGCACCCCAAGTCCAAAATTAAACATTAACGTCAAAAATAATTCCGAAACCCAAACTAACATTATCTGTAATTGTATACTCTTTCATTTCTATTTTCCTTAAAAGTCCTATAAATGGTATTTGGTAGAAACAAACTTGATTTGATGGATTTTTCCAAGATTTATTAATGGCAAAGCTACCTTTAGAGTTTCACTTGATTTTCTTAGAAATTCCAGTTGTTGCTTTAACTCTTTGTTTTCACGTTTGAATTTGACCATGTTGGAATCTAAAGCCTTCAACAAACCACGAGGATTTAATCCAATTTATACTTACAGATTGCAGTCAATTTAAGAAATAATTAATATACAAAATTTATTACCTTCCTTTCATTCGAAATATTTAATAGCTTTGACTCCATTTCCTCTGAAAATAGAATTATACTAGCTGTTCATTCAAAGAGTTGTACTACGTTTACGGTAAAATTACTATCACTGCTGTTTGAAAGAAGCAAACATATAATATTGTTCCTAGAGGTCCAGTCATCACTTGTTGATCCAGTACTGCAACAGAAGGATACATGCATGTTCTCATATTGTTCTGGTTAACTCCTAGGTTTCATTAATTTATAATATATAGTTATTTGTATGCATTGCATGGCAATAAACATAATTATTTTGGTACCTATGGAAAACACTGTTTTATTTATTAATATTGCAAAGCTTTGAATCCATAATTTTCTCTTACTGATTAAGATGTGATCCCAAAACGAAACTGTGGATTGATATAATAAATTTGATGTTTTCCACAAACTAAAACTACTATATCATTTATTCTATTTCATGGGAAACAGCACATACAGTAGAATTTTGTTCACTGTTTATTTACCAATTAAAGTAATACAATCTGTGAAACAGGATTTAAATAAAAGAGCGCTAATTTGTGTATGATCATGATTAAATTGTAGCACAGTGAGGTGATAATCCTTTTTAGAAAGTGAAGGAAATACAGTCCTAAAACATTAGAGAGGTTCAGATTGACTTCCACTACTGCTACCAACTGCTATCACTCTTGGATAAGGACGTTAAAATTGTAGGTACCGCAGATCCCTTATGAAATTGGCAATAGCCTGTTGGGACATCCACACACACGAATGAGTGAGAAACGCAATAAACAATCTGATTGGTTAATGATCCCTTAATGGTAGCAGTAGCAGAAGTCAAACCTCTCCATTCTCTGGCGGAGGGTGTTGTTAGACCCAGCCCTACCTGCACACCCTTACACAATGTCATTTCAACAGAGCTGGTTACCTGTATCACGTCTCAATCTTTCTACGAAGCCCTCTAGTTGCATTCTAGTCTGGTATTCTCTATCATATTGTGATCTTGTTTCATTTAACTCTTTTTTTAATCTTGCACAATCCCCAGACAATAATTTCATTTCATGATTTTCTCTTTCAACCAGTTTTTCCATTTCCATGACCCGGCTCAAGAGATCTTCATGTGAATCTTCAAAATTTTGACGTAAGCTTTTTTCATGATGAAGTTCTTCTCTAAGCTAAACATTAACAAATTTAATTTATTCACACCCTAATGTGCCATATTACAGTATTATTTTACTCTGTCTAATGCCAGATGATTTTTCTCATCAAAATACACGTGTCATGTTCCTAGCCAGTGCACTTATTAGAGGCATTCACCCCCCTGAACATCAGTCATTTTGAATATTTTCAGGGGGGTGAATGCCTCTCATAAGTACAGGCACATAAGGTAGGGACAATTGGTAGGAACATGGAGACAGCATTGTAACGGTTATGCCAAAATCATAGGCAAAAGTGCAAAACCAAGACGTTTACCTTCTGTACGGTTCTTTTTCTGTGCCTATACCATACCCAAGTAATAAATTGAGGGTGTATATATTCAGTGAATGTCTTGAGTATAGTGTAAAATTTCCCTACCTCATTAAGCTGTTTTGTCAACTTATCTCTTGTTCCTTTAATTTCTAGTACTTTTTTCACTACATTTACATTTGAACCAGATTTAATGTTGAGAACGTCTCTCAATTTTTGAAAATCCACTTCAGTCTGAGCTCGAAATGTCTCACTTTCATCCAGAGTTTTTCTCGTATTAACCAAATCTTTTTTCAATTTCATCAACTTTTTCTCATACGACTCGTTTGCGCTAAGCGTTCCAGCGACAGAATCTCTATTCATTAAAGTCTTCTCTGCTTCCAGACTCACCAAAGCAAGCTTCAAAGAGTGCACTGTGCTTTCTGTGCGACATACTCGCGCTACTAATTCTTGATAATTGCTCTTCAAAGCTTCATATTTTCCGACATCATATTTATCGACTTCAAAAGGAGTTATAGCTTCAATAACGCTTCGTCTTGAAACATTATGTGGTGTCTCAGCATCGGCATTGAAACCGTATCCTGACAAATGTTCAGATAGCTTTTTCGCTTCGTTTTCGGCTTGGTCCAATCTCTCATGAAGTAATTTTAAAGTCTTCTCAGGCGGTGAGTTGCTTTTTTTCGATGCAGGTAAGACAGCTTTATCCATTAAAATGTTTGTGCAAACTCTCTCCGTTATTAGACGAAAATAAATCAGGGTTTTAAATAAAAAATTTAAAAAATCCGCCAAATTTTGCGGCCATTTTGTTTTTCCATATAACTAGTGCCCAATCTTTTTGTGTTTATCCTCAGTTTATCTGACAGACATTCCAATTTCCAAACTTGTTTTTGGTTTTTATGAAAGAACCAGAATTATTGTCGAGGAAAATGTAACTATCCATGGTAAATACATGTGCAAACACTCTGTAAAATCACACTGAATAAAAGGAAATAAGACACCCCTAGCTAGTAAGTGTTTTGAGGTTGTAGCAAATTAAACAATTTATACATACATCATGGTGATGGACAACATAGCTGAATTTTTAATTGGCTCAACAGCCGCTTGTGGAGCATGTATTTTTACAAACCCTTTGGAAGTTGTGAAAACTCGAATGCAACTACAAGGTGAACTTCAAGCGAGAGGGACATATGCCAGACATTATCGAAATGTTTTCCATGCGTTTTACACCATAGCTCGGGTAGATGGTATCACAGCGTTACAGAAAGGACTGGTTCCAGGTCTTGCATATCAAGCAGTGATGAATGGAGCACGGCTTGGTACATATCAACATGTTGTCAACTCTTCCTTGGTTCGAGATCGCGACGGCAGGCTTGTTGCATGGAGGTGTGTTGTGGCTGGTGGTGTTTCAGGTTGCATTGGAGCTTTTTTAGCTAGTCCTTTCTACATGGTGAGTATGCTAGCCTGGTGACCATAGGCATACAAGATTGGAGGTACCTGCCCAGAGAGACTGAAGTTGGGTAAATTTTAAATGTAATTGGGGCAAAAAGTTCGGGGAAATAAATTGAAAAGCAAGAAATATGTGAGATAATAGTTGAAAATGCAAGAAATAGAGAGTTTAGTAGGAAAAAATTGATCAGGCAAAATGCAACAAAGTTGAGCAAATTTTTTTCTGTCCCTCCTAATTTTCCCTCCTGTATACCTATGCTGGTATGGTAGCCAGAAAACTGACTTGAGCAAACTACGATCCACAGGGCTGGTGTGTGGCTAGAACTGTAGATTACACTTGTGGGACTTGTAATTGCATGATTTTCTCCCAGACTAAATTTAATGAGTGTCTTCTTCTATTGGGAACCCTGGCCTCTCTTCCTAAAAAATGTGTTCTCTTTTAACCTTTATATTTTAAAAATCTTGTTTAGTTCAAAACACAGCTCCAGTCTAAAGCAGAAGAAAGGATTGCTGTTGGAACACAACACAATATCACAAGTTTTACAAGAGCTGCAATGGATGTTTACAAACAATTTGGAATTCTGGGTCTTTGGCGTGGTGCAAGTGGTGCTGTATTACGAGTGAGCGTAGGTTCTGCTGCGCAACTCTCTACATTCTCAATAACGAAGGACATGATTGAGCGAAAAAACCTCTTTAAAAAAGACAGCTTCTTTCTCGGGGTTGCTGCAAGCTTCTGTAGCAGTTTTGTTGTTTGTGTTGCCATGACACCTTTTGATGTTGTTAGCACAAGGTTATACAATCAAGGGATTGATAAAGCAGGCCAAGGTTTACTTTATAATGGACCGTTTGACTGTATTGTTAAAATATTTAAACAGGAGGGGATTTTAGGTTTTTATAAAGGTATTGGTGCTCAATATTTCAGATTGGGACCACATACAATATTAAGTCTGGTTTTCTGTCATGAACTAAGGAAATTTTACTATGGTTTCAACAAAAATGGGAAATAATAATTTAAATCAAATTAAAACAATTATCTATGTAACTCAATGTATGGATATTTATATTAAAGCAATTGGTTGTCATTTAACAACCAACATGATAATATATAATACAATTTGGTTCCTTATATAAAAAATGTAAAAAATAAACATCTAATGTTTTTTATTTGTTTTGAACTGGTTTCACCATTGATGCACACTATTGAAGTCTCTTATTATTTTTATTTTACCAATGAAGTAAAAGTGCTTGGTATTAGCAGTTTAAGACTCCCAAACATCACCAGTTTTGTTTAGGAAAACATGCATTAAATCCAGTGGCACCCCCAATAACTTCTTTAACCCATTGAGTGGCAGCACTCTCCCCTTGTCTGGCATTAGAGCAGGCAAAATAATAAAGTAGTGTGCCAAAGGGTGTATTGCCACTCAAAGGGTTAAATTTATTGCAGTTGTATAACTTCAAATGTACAAATCTTGTAACAGTGGGTGGTAATATGGTGGCCACCTAACCCTTCATATTAAGTGTCTGCTGCTGATTAAACCAAAATATAACACAGAGTAGACCAGAGCTTTTGTAATTATTTTTTTAAGAGTTATAAAAATATGCAGAATTATGCCTTTTTAGATTCATCCTTTTTATGAAACATGTTAACAACACAATTTTTTTCAACCATTAAATTGCTACAACCGAACATTTAAGTTGAGTTGTAACATTTTCATTGATGACAATACTGACGACATGGTCACCACAAGATGTGATTGGCTTAGACATTTCAACACAATGTATGGGCACAACAACACTAAGTTTCTTTCGACATTGAGTTGAGATATCATGTTTTGTGATCTCCCATGGTTCCACTTCTTCTTTCACTGGAATCTTCAACACAGCAGTTTCAAAGAAAGGTAAAATCTTTGGATCAGATACCAGACTGCCAGTACCTCCTTGCACAGTCTGAGTTGCCAGGTATTTTTCTTTGTTTTCTTCTGTTGCATATACAGCTAGTCTATTTAGAATCAAATAATTTCGACCATATCCACGTTTTACTTGTACCGGTTGACCAGCAACGCCCAAGTTCGGGACATCTTCTTTCAATATTAGATCTAACCGTGGTTTTCTGTTAGCACGTTTGTTCACTTTTACCAATTTATTGTAGTCAAATTTTTGAGTTCTTTTGTTGAAATTTCGATAGAAAATTTTACTGCAGTCGCGAGCTGTATTTCCAATGAGAAATCTGCCAAAATTCATACTTGGAGTAGGAGAAATTAAAGCAAAATGTGAAAATTGCTAAATAAGAACTCCTTTTCAGGCCGCCATCTTGAATGTGGCGCGTTCAAGAGCCTAGTACCAAGACAATCAAGACGGGGGGGGGACAAAACTTTTTGGGGGGGAGCAACATATCCAAAAAAATTACAGGGGGTGAAGAAATCCAGTCATCATTGATTGATATTACCTTTCCTTCTGAGGGAAGAGGGAGTGTTGGCTAATTTTGGAAAATGTTGAGAGCCTCCATGTTCACCAGTGGCGGAAAATCACTTTTTCTGGTGGTGGGGCAGTGCAAACCCCCAATCTCGTTCCCCGAGCCTGCGATCCTCGGGAAGGAACGCGAGGCTCTGGGATAATCCGTTGCCGGAAGTCAGGAATCCTGGCTAAAATTGAACTACGCATTCCATTTCAACGGCCAATCAGATTCCTCCCTGAAACGGATTATCCCAGAGCCTCACGTTCTTTCCCGAGGATCGGTGTGAAGGTCAGCGAAAAACAACGTCCATGCTACGGACCAGCGGTCCGTAGCATAGACCATTTGACCCTTTAGCCTCGTTTTCGTGCGTACTTCCACTGAGATACCGCTGGTTCGCCGCAGCGGCGTATTCAATTACGATAACAGCCATTAATCTGTGGCCTCGATTGTGGCCTCGTCACTGTTTTTCGCTGACCTTCACAACTGCGCATGCGGGACGCCCTTAACCGATCGAGATTAAGGCAGGTGTCTGCCATATTTATATCTTCAGTAATTTGTGTTTGTATTATGCGGAGACACACGTCTGAAAGCGGTATCTAAATGCTGTAAAACCTTAATAATTTATTTGCTGTCACTTTCAAGACGCTTTGACAACTTCCGAAAGATTTCTTGCTTCCTAGAAGATCGATAAGTTCCCTTTAGCTTTCCGTAGCGACTTGAAAAAACACCTGTCCCATACCTTTTAGCCTTTAGGAACGCTTTTCAGAGGAATTATTGCAACGGAGAGATGTTGTTTCGCTCAGCTTCTGAAAATTGTACATTCCGTATCGGATGAGTGCTTTTCACCCCGCTACGGAAAGCTATATCCGGTATAGTTGAAACGTAGCCTTAGCTCAAATAAATCGGAAATAATGAATTTCAAATGATCCGGAGTTCCGGGCTAATGCAGATTCTGATTGATAAAATAACTAATAATCGTGTTTCCTACAAAAACATGTCAACTATATTTAACTTCCAGACGAAAGGGCCTCGCTTGAAAACGTTCAAGTTCTTGTTCTGAACGACAATCTTAGCATGATCATTATCCTATGTTTTCTGACCAGTTTATATTCTGACGTATTCAATTAACGTAAGTTGAAGTCATGTTTTGCAAGACTGGTTGATAAATTACATTTAGTTACAGCGCCTTAGTTCCTTACCGGAATTTCAAAGCCCTGCAGACTGATTTAATAAATTAAATAGGATACACTGAGGCTTTAATTAAATCGCAATATAAGAGTAAACCTTAAACGCAAACTAGAAAGGTTTATCACGTTTTAAACACGAAATACATATGACATAGGAAAAAATTAAACATAGTCATGTTTTCCATTAATATATTTAAGGAATAACAGATGATTAGTTGTCTAGCCATGCTATAAGCACAAGGGACTAGTATTCCCAATGAGCTAAATCAACATTGATCAAACTCATGTAAATATGAATGCAATATTTCACCTCAATATTAAGCATAATTTCCTCGTAAAAAATGCATTACATAGCCGTAGGAAGCGAATGATATCCGTAGCGTTCAAATGAGTTTATATGAATCATACACCTCCGACTCTGTATTGAATGGATGCAGCTGTTTTCCTACACAAAAGAAGCGAGTTCTTCCTACACGAAATATCGTTAGTTTCTCGCACCTTGATTGGTTGATACGATTTATTCCCCGTATTTTGATTGGCTGGCAGGACGGCTGACAGCACCTGTGCCAGTTGACGCAAAACGTACATATATAGTTGTCTAAGGCAAAGAATAATGCGAACAGATGAACAAGACAGTGCATAATGGAGTTTGGGATTACTTTGTATTGCCGTTCGTGGTTTTGAATTAACGTGGAATATTTCGGAGAAAAATCACAAAGGTAACGAGGATTGCGGTTAAGGAATTACACTACACACTAGGGTTGAAATTTAGAGAACTTTAAGCAAATAGGAACAAAAGCAAGCCACGCTTGTTGATCTACTTTATATTGAAAGAAATCAACAACGAAGCAAACATTGACTGAACTCTAAAATGCCTGGATTGATAATCGAAGACAGTAAACGCTCACTCGTTTTAAGATCTTCAAGTCTTTTCGTAAACATCAACGGATTTGTCGCTAGTACATTAGCTCGCTTGTGTTATTTCAATCAATTTGATGATGAAGCCGAGGCTGTATTTGTTTATAATGACAACGCGACGTTTATAACAGATTTCCGAGCGACAATTGGTCAACGTAAAATACACAGGGAAATACGAGAATTGCTGAGCGAAAAGGAAGCCGAGCGTTGTTCTGTCCAAGATCAAAATGATTTAGTAATTAGTATCGGAAAAATCCCACCTAATGCGTCAGTCTTGTTAGAGGTTGATGTCCTAGGCGAATTACAAACCACAGACAATGGGCAAGCATTAGTTTTTGAAACACCTGAAATTTTTACCCCATTCCATAGCGAGTTTAGCGAAGGCTGCAGTACAGGGCAAGCGTATAAGTTTGATCTAAAGATTAGAAGTGATATACCATGCCAGCTGGCTGGGTGTCATTCTCCTTCACATGCAATTCAAGTTGACGCAGATGCAAATGCGACGAGTGCAGAGACAGTAATTATAACATTAGCTGAACAGTTTAGATATGATCGACAAATCCAAGTGTATTTTTATCCAGCCAAGTCACTTGATGTATATACAAGTATAGAGCCAGGCATAGGTACGGCACAGGAAATAAACAGTTCTCCTAAGAATAGAAGATATTCCATGGTAAATGTTAATCCTCGAACATTCACAAATTCTTTGCACAAAACAATCGAACGTAAAGAATCATTTTTAAGAAATGAGATTGTCGATCCCAAAGCAAATGAGCACAAAGACGTTTTAATAAGCGATAATATAACACAACATCCAAGTAAAGATTTCTCAAACAACATAAATGAAAACATCATTCATAAAAGATCTAGTCATCCTCTCGTGTCTCACTCCAACACGAATTCAGAACATGTTTTGCGAGACGAGTCCTGTATAAAAGAACGCTCCAGTACACTAAAAGACAACGTATGTCCTGAAGATTACAGAAATAACGAAGTAAAAGCAACACCCTGTTTGACAGAAGACTCAAAATATCTGTTTACCAACAGCGCAAACGAAGAAATGGATGGGAAATATATTTCCTGTAAAGCAGATTCAAATAGATACCAGATAGATTCAACTTATCATGTTTTAGAGAAATCCACTTCTGTCAACTTATTTCTGGAGGAAAACTTGCATGACATTAAACCACAGGAGAACTATACAACCCAAAGATTTCTGCGCACAAATTCTTCAGGCAAAGATGGCAGTGGTCATTCTTATTTCAAAGAGGGATACACCAATAATTTCAGCAATGGCACAACTATTGATTCCGTAAGCAAAGCCCGCCAAGACCCTCTTCTTTTTAAAGAAAATGTTGAAAGCAATAGCAAAGATATTGTCGTAGGCAATCATGTGGATTCCTCATGCACCACTACAAGTTCAAGTTGGGTGCTAAAATATCCCAAAAAAGATGTCACAAACTCTGTAGAAAATTGCGGTAGTGCAAATCATTGTGCAGTGGAAAATAACAATCTGAATTCAAAAAGCAGTAATCATAGACGATCAAGACATTTCCTCAGTGATTCAATCATCGCTGCTAGTTTTCTTCCCGATCTATCAAACTATTCTGTTTGTGGAGAATATATCTTTATGCTCGATCGAAGTGGAAGTATGAATGGCTCACATATTTGTAATGCTAAAGAAAGCTTGGTGTTATTCTTAAAGAGTCTTCCTACATCCTCCTACTTCAATGTGGTGAGCTTCGGCTCCTACTCACGTTCTCTATTTCCTTGTAGTCAAAGATATACTCAAGACAGTTTAGAGAAAGGTTGTGCATATGTGAACAGTATTAAAGCGGATATGGGTGGTTCTGAGCTTCTACAGCCTCTGAAAGCAGTGTTAGAGAAACCACATAAAGCAGGGTACATGAGGAATGTGTTTGTGCTTACGGATGGAGATATTGCACAACCTGACGCCATTTTGAGATACCTGAAGACGAAACGTCACAAAGCAAGGTTAGTGTAGCCTGTGTTCTGACTTTTTCACGGGCAGAAAGTCGGGCTGTTTGCAGGCAAGGTTATAGTGAAGTTAGCATAAAGTTAGGCTGAAAAATCGTCAACATGATGCTTATTAATTAAAGGGCATGCATGCATCTATCTGAAAGATTGAAAGCAAAAGATTCGAGCAAAAGATTGAGCCATACAAGCCTACTACCTTTCACTTATAGCGAAACACAATTAACGCGCCTTCGCTCAAAATGTACAGTATTTTCTATAATTTTCACGTGGTTGCATCACTGTCAATGATACACTAGTGAAGAAATTTCACAAAATCAAAAATGGCAGCTCTGTTTCACCGCTTCAAATAAAACGAATGATTATTGCGGTCAAAGTAATTGGCCAAAAGCTGTTGTGACTTCCCTGTCACTCTTTGTTATGTTATTTAATGAATTTATTAAGGGTTTTGTTATGTAATGACAATGTGACAAAGCTTTTAAAATATAAAATATAGTTATAAATCGTCTTCATGCCACTCTGACATGACTGACGTTTGGTTCATAGGCTAGGACGCCACTGCAGAGCTAATCTCGTATCCAGAGTTAAAGTACATTTCTGTTACTCTAGAATTTTCACCTTTGGAATTGGTCCAAAGATATCCCACAATACCGTGTGCGATATTGCAAGAAGTGCCCAAGGAAAAGCTTATTTTCCAGAACCTGGTAACAAAGTTCAAACTAAGGTACGATGCTAACAGTTATTTTTTTTATAAAACTAATTACGTTCTAATCAAGTTCAGAGTTCGATCAAATAAAGTGTCGTATAACGCAGACATTTTGCATAGGCTTTGAAAAGATTGCTTCAAAACCACTCAGATATTACTCTGCATTTAATCTTTTGAAATGATATGTTATTCTCTGAATTATTTTTTCTTTCAGTTCAGGACTGATAGCCATCTCACACCTAGCTCGTAAAACCTTTAGCAAACAGCATGAGCGGCCATGAATAAACTAATAAACAAACTCAAGCCAAAATTAAGCATCCTAGTGATTCAATATTTCATCAAGACGAATAACAATAATAATAGTTTGTTTCAATATATCTGTGTCCTGAAAAAGTTCAGTAGGTTATTTTATTTAATTATTTATTATGTATTTTATATATAGGTCATTCAATGTCTGAAAGAGGTCCTGAAGCCAACGTTATGCGAGGTTAAGGTTGACTGGCAGCTCCCAACCAACTGGCAGCTATTACGAGCCACTCCTGAGATACCGTTCTCGCTTTCTGACCAGCGGATTAACCTGTATGCTTCAGTACAGTTACCATCTAGAGCACAGTCCAGAGAAAAGTCGAGCAGTGTGAAAGAATTTTGGTTTGATGAAGAGCTGGATTCCTGTCAACTGGGGGATAACATGTTCTTCGAGGACTTCCAAGACAACGAGGAATTTCCTGGATATTGGGGGACGGATTCAGACATATCCACATCGGATTGTGAGCAGCAGTACGACGAAAAAATCGGAAGTGATCGGGAGTATGACGTCGGAAATGATCGGAACGGCATCGTGTCTGACCAGTGGTCTGACCTTGTGACAGAAGAGATGAAAGATAATGAAGAGTCTGGTGACAAGTTTGAGGGTACTGAAAAGATAACGGACCAATCAAATGTCGAGGATATTGTCAAAAACTGGCGGGAAGCAAGAAATATCCGTCTGTATTCGAGTGATACAAGCACAGAAACTGAAGATGAATGCCAAGCAGACTGCAGTGGAAATCACTGGAACATTCACTATAACAACCCTTTAGACATTGATTATAGCAGAAGTATGTCCCCACCAGAGAAAGACTTAAGTCAAAGAAATTACGATTTAAACCAGAACCTTCTAAACTCGGTCACCACTTACGGTGGAATGGGAACCAGTGATGACGTCATAAATAACCTTGGTCACGTGACTGACATGAGTACTGACGATTCAGAAGATATCATGGACAACAATATAGACGTCTCGACAACAAAGACTTGCGTTTCTCCTCTTAATGCCTCTGATGATAGCCGTCATCTCAGTAATAACGCCATGTGCAATGACATCACTCATAATGATGTCATATACAATGACGACGTTATCCATAATGACGTCATACACAATGACGTAAAGAGTATTTACATCACAGATAACGGCAACCAAGCAGATTGCATCCGACAGAATGAAGTTTACATCAGAAGTTGTGATACGAGCAATACTGCCAGTGGTAACAAGAACAGCAAAGAGAATGTTATTGACTGCAACAACTTAGAGAACATCCCATGCAGTAACTACGACATAGATGATGGCATCAACGAATCTCCTGAGTTAACAAAGGATAAAACAGATTCTGACTGGGGCAGTATTTTAATAAGCGGTTATATAGGACCTGATATCCACCGAGAAAGAATTCCACTTTGTTTGAGTCGAAATACAAGTAAAGGTATTTTACTTCATCAAATGGCTGCAAAGAAGTTGATTGATGGCCTGGAGGCCATATTGGACAGCACGCCTGATAGTTCGAGAGTGGAAAGAGAGATCGTGACGTTGAGTAAAGAGTCACGTGTTCCTTCAAGTATGACGTCTTCAATGTCAATCAATGATACGGGAAATATGATTGGCGTTTCCCAGAATTCCTTGGGTTTAACTTTGAGGTAAATATTTGCATGTGTGAGGATAGAGCAAAGTAGGTGAAGAAGTAGGATATGATTAGTATTCAACTCAACTCACTCAACTCAATTTATTTTTGCAATAAGTAGATAAGCAAGCAGGGAAATATAGTGTAAAGATGGTTAACTGGCAGATATATATATATATATATATATATATATATATATATATACACTGGATCCAGAAAAGTTTGACCTTCGAATATATATATATGTCGGCCATTTTGAATTTTCTTGGGTTAGTTATACGCGAACGCATACATCAAATGTCGCTCGCAACGTATTGTATATTGCAATATTATTCCAACAGCTCAAATGAATAAAAGAATCATTGATTGATGTCTTTGCACATAATCATAATGGCTAGTAGGAAATGAACATTTGGAAATGTAACATAGTGACCTGCTTCGCCAGGTCACGAATGCTGCGCGTGCTGAGTTTCAGGGGATGAAATATCGAATGACTATCGATTCCGTTAAAATTTCCGTTGGCAAAATATAATAATTCTGGACGTAGGTTACAGCTGTAAAATAAGCACAAGTGAGTACGAAAGAATAAACAAAGAAATTCATCGAGGCATGCTAATAAGCGTCTAAATCTCTAAGGATGCAAAAGAATAAATTACGACATGCCAAAAAGATCAGGTTCCAAATTGTGACAAGAGTTAATTAGCTAACAACCCTCAAATGTTCATTAGATAGCTACTGCAAATATGTGTAAGAACTTCAAGCAATGATCCTTTACTTATTTGAGCTGTTGGAATATTGCAATATACAGTACGTTGCGAGCGACATTTGATGTATGCGTTCGCATATAATTAACCCAAGAAAATTCAAAATGGCCGTCATATATATATATTCGAAGGTCAAACTTTTCTGGATCCAGTGTATATATATATATATATATATATATATATATATATATATATATATATATATATATATATATATATATATATATATATATATATATATATATATAGGTAGACATATAAAGTGGAAGGTAGATAAATAGATAGGTACAATCATGTGTTGGAACAGATAGCCCAAAACCCTAGGTTGGGTGTATGCAGTAATAAGTTTTATATATATCTGAAGCAAGAACTTCAGTCACTTGAATTCGGTCTATACGAAAAGGCCAATAGCTATGAAGGTAGTAAACAGTATTATAAAATAACATGTATATAACGCGTGCTCTGATTGGTCGAAACCCGTGTTTGGATCAGGCCATCCAAACACGGAAGACTATCGTGTTGTTGTTATTTTCGGCTCGTGATTTTGCGTGCTTTTCACAACTCTCGCAACATTCCCGCGTGTTTGGATCAGGCCATCCAAACACGGAAACCATAAAGTATTTGTATATTCATACCATTTTTCCCTAATTCCAGTAAAACCGTATCGCTAATCAAGTTATCGGTTCATAAAATCATAATACTATTCCCTTAAATCGAAGTCAAAATAACAGACAAAAACACCTGAGAAGGGGTATCCAATACTCAATAGCTCCAAATATATATGGATCTCACTGGGTGTATGTGTGTAGGAAGGTAGGTATATTTTATGGAAGAAAGAACAAGCTAACAGAATAAAGATCATGAGAAAAATGTTTCGTTTCAGACGACGTAAACAGCAACAAAGAAATTGTCCAAAACTAACAAGAGGAGAAAATCCACCAGCCATCCTCGTTAGTTGTCCGAGTGTTGACAAAGAACCACGGTCACCTACGAAACGAAGACTCGGGATGCCGACGGAAGGCGATGCTATTTCGGACGATGGGAAATATTATCGCATTGAAAGACTGGATCCTGAAGGATGCGATGAAGTTAAACGTGAAACTCGCCGGAAGAGACTCGTGGATTGTCGTAATATCGCCGTAACGGCAATTCATCGTCGGAAAATTGTCAGCACAAGGTTAACTTTATTGACAAGAAAAATGAGGAATGCCCACAAACTGAATGTTTTTGCAGGTAAAGTTCCCTCCATCTTACGATTTATTCGTCAATATCTTGGAAGAGACAGAGAATGGATCTTTGCTAATTTTTCATATGTGGGAAAGGTGCATCCAGTTTGACCTTACCAAACACCAAACGTTTCTAATAATGGATGGCCCTCACAAATGATACAGCCTGACTGTCCCAAGTTGCTTAGCCCATCAAGATAGAACATTCCCATGGGCCTACGCGTTCTATTGTTCCAATCCGCAAACGCCTGCAAATTTGAGGGACTGTGGAAGAATTAGTGATAGACCTATTGAGTAGAAATCAAGAAAAGATAGGCTCCTCAGAATGATTAACCTGCACTGGACCCCTAGGAAGAACAATATAGAACAGCTACCCAGTAATGGTTTAGTGGTTTACAACTTGATCTGTATTGTGTAAATCAAACACACAACTCATTTAAGACAGGCGAGCTGTTGATTTACACAGTGCCACTCAAGTTGTAAGCACGTTGCATGTGACAGTTTTAGGAAAAGGTTGTGTAGTGTAAATCTGCCTTAACAAGAATTGTTCTCCCTCTAGGGCCACCATTTATTCGTCTTATCCTCCTCCAATATGCTGAAGGATTCTGGCAACTAACCTACGCCTTTGCGCGTATAATTGGCCTTCCTTTAGTTCAGTTAGAACTTGCAGCACCATTTGTAGACTCCACAATGATTCCCTTGGCAGAACAGGACGATAGACTGGGAATAGATTGTTACTACGACTCCCTAGCGTTATGGGCTACTGCCTTGGCCTTGGTATATCTCAAAAGAAAATGGACGAGCCACGAAAAAGACTGGGTACTAATAGCTATCAAAGCCGAAGCTTGGTTACAAAGGCAGACGTTTCCTCAAGGTTTTGGGTATATAGATGTGATGTTAGCTGCAAAACAGGCAATAGTTTTGTTAGAACAGAAGTACAGGTCACGAGCGAAAAGTGAGCCTGTTGGTTTGATAGAATGAATAATATTGAGAATTTATATTATTTCCGCTATTCCTTGGATATTTAAACGAAAAAAGCGAATAGGAAAGACAAAGTAGAAATAAACCCTTTATTCTCAACTGTAAATTATAGATAAGTTTACTATTGAAAACAACATACATTGCACTACTAATTCAGTATAATATTTTATATTTTATATTATCTGCCTCTGTTTTTCGAAGTTATTTGTCATTGATTATGAAAATAGCCATTCAGGATTCATATTTCTAGTTTGTGATACACATAGTTCTCTATTCCTCATCAGCTTCGCCACTTTCTCCACTAGATTCAGCCTCGCCACTTTCCCCACTAGATTCAGCCTCGCCACTTTCCCCACTAGATTCAGCCTCGCCACTTTCCCCACTAGATTCAGCCTCGCCACTTTCCCCACTGGATTCAGCCTCGCCACTTTCCCCACTGGATTCAGCCTCGCCACTTTCCCCACTGGATTCAGCCTCGCCACTTTCTCCGCTAGACTCGGCTTCGCCACTCTCCCCGCTAGATTCAGCCTCGCCACTCTCCCCGCTAGATTCAGCCTCGCCACTTTCTCCGCTAGATTCAGCCTCGCCACTTTCTCCGCTAGATTCAGCCTCGCCACTTTCTCCGCTAGATTCGGCCTCGCCACTCTCCCCACTTGATTCGGCCTCACCACTTTCTCCGCTAGATTCGGCTTCGCCACTCTCCCCGCTGGACTCGGCTTCGCCACTCTCCCCACTAGATTCAGCCTCGCCACTCTCCCCCCTAGATTCAGCCTCGCCACTCTCCCCACTAGATTCAGCCTCGCCACTTTCTCCGCTAGATTCGGCATCACCACTCTCCCCGCTGGACTCGGCTTCGCCACTCTCCCCACTGGATTCAGCTTCGCCACTTTCTCCACTAGATTCAGCCTCGCCACTCTCCCCAGATTCGGCCTCCTCGACATTGGCAATTTCTTCTAAAAATGCATCAGGAAACTTTGATAGTCAAAACTCAATGAAAAACTAATACAATGTAAGATATGTCAAGAAACAGATCTAAGTTTCGATTTAACGTTCAAGAGACCTTTCTCATGTTCCACTGTCCCAATTTTTAGCGGCAATTCGCACTACAAATTATGTTATATGAAATTTAATTGGCTCAAAACGACTTGAATTGTGAATACATCCTTTCGATAATTACGTCTTTGGCCTGGGAGCCTCGCTCTCATGAATGTGAGTCAATCACCTTGCGCGTAATTTACTAATGAGAGCGAGGCTCCAAGACCAAAAAGTATGTGTGGCGTAATTATCGAAAGGGTGTATTGTCGCTTAAAATATTCCCGTGTGACATCGCTTGAATTGTTTTTATGCGGTTGACGTCATTACGAAAAAGGTCTATTGTAATTTTAAAACTGAAATGTTCTCACCTGTTAATGGTTTCGACAACGTAAAGGACACTCCTAGTACCAGGACTAATGCGGCTAAGAAAATTGTCAACTTCATCTTAGAATTTTACGATTAAACCTGAAAGTGAAATTACAGATCTGAGTCTGGTTTATCTACACAATATTACGCACGTTTAGTCAAAACGTGCGTAATAAGCTTGTTGCAAGCAATGATAACATCAGTTCTTAATTTGTTCTAATATGGGGTTCTATAATTCAATGCGAATATACGGTACTGCGCTAACTGCCACATTAGAATGCTTTTGAGTTTGTTCTAATTATCTTCTAATGTCAATTTTGTTGTTGGAGCAATAGTTGGAACTAATCAGAATGTTGCAAGTTCGTTCTAATACAATGGGAACATCCACAGGGACATTGCACTGTAATTCTGTCACATAAGTTCCGATGATCTAAATGATATTTAGAATTCTAAAGCCCGGATCAAACGATGAGAGTGCAACCTTGGTCAGTTGTTCGTAATGTTTTCTCAACACTAGCATGTGTTTAAGTTAAAACATAGTTGGAAGATTCATCAAACCTTTATCTTGTTAATCTAGAGCTTCAAATGCCTCGACTCTCATCCTCTTTAGGTCGAGGTTTCGCTGACGAATTATGTTTTAATTAAACTGAAGTATGCTACTGATACCAGCATCAACCTGTTCATTCGCTAAACACTTTTACAACGCTTTTCAAATGTCTTTATCACCACCCGCATTAGCTAATATACGTCTTCATACTTCGAGTAAATAACAAGTAGAGAAATATTTGTTCAAAAGTCATTTGCAATTGTTCAAACGTTCGAATTAGCTCAAATGAAATTATTTTTCAAGTTAAACAAGAAATTCACAAATTATTCTTTTCGAAATTACTTGCGAAGTTTTCACATTATAACACGTCAGCAAAAATGTTTTTGTTAAATTTGGTGTTTGATCTCTTGAAATGTTAAAGGGGAAAGTCAAATATAAACTGGAAAATGTTTAAATCACACGAACATCTTAATATTCTTATAAAACATTTTATCAATAATTTTACAATATATATAATGTATGTAATGTACATAATTTTATCTTCTTTTTCCCAGTGATATCAGTACTAAAATAGAAATATCGGTTTCGGTAATTTTGTTCTTGATATTACCGATATTACAAACTGTTATTAAATATTAATGATTGTTTATAGTTGCAGTTCAATAGTTATTTTTATTACAAATAAATGAACAGTCACTAGCGTAGTAATACGGCATGCATTAGAAGCATTTCATTTGATATTTTCAGTATTTAGAAACAAATGAATTGAATTAAATTCAAAAGTATTAAATTAGAACTGTCATGATTTTATCTTTGAATTTTGTGAAACGACATAGAATATCGCTATCGGCAAAATATCGATCCTTCAATATCGGTTATCGGTGAATTTCCATATCGGTACATCAGTACTTTTCCCATCATTTCAATTCACTCGACAGTTTGTATGAAATAATACTCGATTCACAGCTTGTATTCGACACAAAAAATTTTACGTAGGAAAATTTCTCACGTAATAGATTGAAACGTGTATGTACTCCTAGATTCGTCTCGAGGGACAAATCAGGATTTATAGGATAGACTTAAAAAATTGAATATAATATTTCTTTTTTGTAAATAAAAGATCGATTTCTAACAAATCTTCCATATGCACAATCGATATTTTGAAAAGATATTGTTGTATTAAAATATATCTGACATGTGTACAAAAATGGGAGGTTGAAATTTCATAAACCCAAACATAAAATTTTGTTTACATTTTGCGCCCCGGGTTTTGGTCATATGTTGAGACTATACTTAAGAACAAAATGATAACAAAGATTTGTTTTGATGACAATGAACAATAATAAGACAATCACAACATCCAGGTATAGATAACTTACCAAAATATCTCGCAATTTCTGAACGTCTCTTCTGAGTGAAGCAGGAGTGATCTTACTCAAAGAATGAATATCTCCAAATGATAGCAATCTTCTTGCGGGTAATTTATAAGGATCATTGCCAAGTGTCAAAATCACATAGCGTATAACGGGTGAGAACAATAGATACCAACAGTGACCGACTTTCCACTTCAAAGTATTTTTAATTTTACCTATATTTACAACCCCTTTAAAAGAACACGCTATTATAGTCTTCCAGTAAATTTCCCAAATTTTTCCGCTCAAAGGCATAAGAATTCAAAGCAAAAATTGTTTATAAAATTTAAGTGTCGAAGTTCATTAATATTTAATTGGGATCAAAATAAATAGGAACCTGTGTCGATATTCAGGTGCTCAATGAAGTCATTTTATTTCGAAGCGAATAAGGTTTATACTAGGAATTTTCTCACAAGTTTTTGACAACCTTTGTGTAAGATAATTTCCATCATCATCGAAAATTTGTGCAAACTTAAACTAGTGAATATATTTGTTAGTGAGATTAAAAGCAAAAGACAAAAGAGATGCTGGTGGCTTTACGCCTGGCTGAGTTTTGGAACTGTGTTTAACTGAAAATCTTTAATTAAGAGATTCTCATTCACTGATATTGACAGTATATTCTGATTTATAAATGTGATTACAATACTGTCTCTTTAAAATGAAATTAAATATACGATAAGAGAAATTAAACATAATCAATACATAATCACTTTAAAATACTCAATGTTTCTGTCTCTGTTTAATTTTAGACAAAACAATGTTCAATAAAAAATGCGACATAGTGCAGTACCCCTCATAATGTAATTAAAATAATTCCTTTATACATTTCAACATTGCGAAACGTATCACTCAATAAACCGTGATTGTACAAACCAATTTACTGGGAAAATGTATAACCATACTATTTTGAATATTATTAGAATTATTATTATTATTATTATAAATAGTTTTGATAGTATTACTATTATTATTATAAATACTTTTTTAACAAAAGTATTTATAATAATAATTATTACCATTTGCATGGAATATAGTTCGTGTACTACATGTAGTTAATAGGATTTGTCGACTTAAGATATACCAATTGAAATAACACCTTAAGTAGGAATTCAAATTTATTATGGAACTCGTCGATAATTAAAGAACAATTAAAGCAAACCATATCCATTTGTTTATTTTTACAGTTCAATGTTTTACAAACACTTTCAAAGACTTAAAAAACTCATTATTAATAATTCATAAGGAAGAGACAAAGAAAATCACTGCCGTGTCGGTAGTTTTACATGTGATAAAAAATCATGTTCATTTACATAAACTACTTTAGCTTTGATTTAATACTTGGTTTAGACAACGTTCATTTTTAAAATTACTTCTGCAATAAACTCAGAAGATGGCTCGTTTTTAAAGCCATCCAGAGTGTGCTGCAGTCCTACGCATGCTTGAAGTAGTACATAAATGACTTTCCAAACTTTATTTTAAAGTTTGGTCATGATAAATTTTTTTTTAATTTGAAAGATTAAATATTTAATTTTTATAAGATTAAAATAGTGTATTGAAAGAGTAAATCAGACGACGATTTGTCTTTCAAAACCGTAAAACTGACTGTCATTTTAGGCATAAATGTTAGTTTATTCTAGGATTTTTGTTGGAGCCAGTGCAGGAGGTCTACCTCATCATAGGAAGTTGGCATCCTGCAGCACAATATATGTTCTCTGTCTCTAATTATTAATGGCATCCAGCACAACGATGGACCCAGGTGGCATCCAGCACAACATGTTTTCTGTCTCTTAAGTTAGCAAATGGAAAATGGTGGAAAATGTCCACCATCGTTGCCAGAAAATTTTCAACAAAATATCTGCGCAGGAAAACATCCAGCAGGAAATTCTTGTTATCTTATATATTGACAGATATATTAATCAACTAGTTTTCTAGTGTGCAAGCAAGCAAGCTGACTCAGACTGGTTATTAGATCGAATTAGATAACGCATTACTCCATCTGATAGTATACTAACATACTATAAGTAACACTTTCTCAACTGTTGCTTTATCAGTGTACTGAAGATAAATCAACAGTCTCCTCATTGATCTGAACACCAAATGATTCACTTTTTAGCTCATCTTAATAAAGCACTTCAACTTGCAAGGCAAGGCACACTATCAATCGCCCTTTCAGGAACAAATTAAGGGGAGTGAAAGCTCACTACTGACGAGAGTGATCATAAACCTCAACATGTCAGGTCTGGAGTCTATTTACAGTTTCATTGTGGAATCATTTGGAGATTTATAGCATTATGGTCATTGAGGCATGCAACCCCATGAAAATCTGCACCCTCTTTACCTGGATCATAGCTGATAACAACAAAATTAACAGATGGGTTGCAGATGAGTTATAATAGTCATGTTGTAATTGACAATTGATGTTGGTCAATTTTTGAATTCTTATCCACTTTGTCCTTACCACCTAAAGAATTGGCAGTCAACTCAACTGTGTTCTTCTCAGCATTCTTGTAATTTCTTTCAATAGCTTCAATTGCTCGTTTCTAGAAAACCCAACTGCAGTATTGGCATATATGTACTGTTAGTGCATAGCTATGTATGCATGCCTAATTCATATGGCTACTGGGAAAACTGTACGTAGGGTACATTGTAGGGTACATTGGGGAGCAAAATGATTCATCAATAAACTTACTCGTTCATCCAGCACGACTTTGATCATGGCCATAGATTTTTTGACCTTATGGAATCTCTGAGGTGAAGGCATTACCACTTCTTGTCTTCTTGCTTCTGCCTGCACTGTTAATAACATGTTTCTTTCTTTTAATAAAACATACCTTAATGGAGAATAACAATTAACAAAGATGAAGTTCTTCCATTTGCAAGAGATTGAATAATTTCAAAACTGATTTTCTTTATCATCCACTTCATGGATAAGATATTTCTCTTCCAGGAGCAAGTCCTGATAAAATATTTCTCTTCCTGGAGCAGGCTTCCCAGATTCAAAAATTTCCTGCCAATTGTTTTTATAAATATGAATTTTGGTTGTAATTCAATAACAGCGTCATACATACTACCTTACTAAGTCATATACTACCTCAATATTAAGAAAAATATAGGTTTACTAGAATTAGGAACATATGAAGGAATTCTATGAAACAATATTTGAATTTTGTTTGAATTTATATCAGTATTCATGCACTATTCAATAATAGTAGTACGCCTTTCTTTTCCACATCATGAATCATAACAGACAGTTATAGCACTGCCAGTACATGATACAAATTTTTATGATATGATTGTTGTATTTATACTCTAATTGTGATGTTTGTTAGTTTAATGCTGATTTTTGAAATTTCTCGAGCTTCATTCTTGATATCTTGCTTTTCCTTAAAAAATTCCTGAGATTAAAAAAATTTCCTGGCAGCATGCTGCCATGCTGGCAGACTTACTCATGCCTTGATGGACTTGTTTGGGAATTACTTTAACTGGGCCCCATACCCAATCTCATACCATTTAATATCCAGTTTTCATAGAAAAGTCAGTTTTATCCCAATTACTTAACAATCACAGATTTTGAGCTATTATTCCTCAGCCTTTTGGAGGAACAGGTCCACAAAGGAAAATTAATATTTGGTCACTCAGTAAACCCTCACCAAAGTTTATGTAAGTCTTCATTACTCTTCTGTCTTAATTCAGCTGCTCTCCAGCTTCTACCTGGCATTAATGGAAACAGAATAGTTCCATATTTCATTCCCAAAATGATGTCAGTACAGTAGCATTCATCTCACTAATACTATCCATGTGCAGATTTTTTCCAAAAATGGACCTCATAATTGAAATCTTCATGCTAGTCTATTTGAGCATATCAAGATTTCAATTCTGGGTGAATTTCTGCCATGAAATACAAAGGTAAAAAATGGATAATGTGAACTTGGATTGGAAAATTTTTATGAGGCGTATGCACCTCCGAAGTTTACTAGAACAGTATAGATTTTCAATTAGAACAGTAAATTTTTACTAAGTTTGGGCAGGTGCCTTGCATGGTTCTTCGAGTCCCGTTTGCGCCTCGCCCATTTAGGGTCTCCGAATAATTAGACTTTATAATTAGACTTTGTACATATACTGTAGTGGACCCTAATAAAGACAATAATAATAATAATAATAATAATAAAAAGAAAATGGTCACATGGAATCCAGACTGGGATGCAAAGTGTCTATATGCTGGACTTGTCCGGTGTACAAACACAAACTTTGGCATACATTTGTTTACATAGACCCAGTGTGGAAAGTTTGTATCACGCGGCGGATATCTCTGGTGCGCAATTTTGATGCTTTCTATATAATTACTAATAAATTTTTTAAATCTCCGGTGCGCAATTTCCAAACTTTCCAGTCAGGACATAGACTAGTAATTGTACAAAGTTCACAAATTTGTACAAAGTTCACAAATTTGGACCAAATAGGTTTATACTAAAAAGGTGTATTTGGAACTTTTGCGCATTGATATCTCCAAAATTGGCATACATTTACATGAATCCGATATCCAGCGTGCAAAAAGTTAACTTTCCAGAACCGGCATGAAAATCACCCAGGTTGTTCCAAAAGCATTTTTATATTTTACTGATTTAAGTACCTGATTTCACTTCTTCAGGCAATGGTTGTTGAGTTTCTAACACTCCAGGAGGAAAAAATTCCTCAATACTAAACCCAGTTCTGGTTGTATGTACCCATTTCACACATGGTCTGCTATGCCCCACTCCTGGCGTCAATAAATTGTAAAATGGCCTATGCAAATGAATGTATCTTTTACATCCAAAAGAATTTAGCATGAAACTAGTAGATAGCGGATATTTTAAACTTGTTTTCGATGTGAATAAATTTGTAGAAGCAATCCAAAATCTTGAAAAGTTACAGCAAGATTTTTGAAAAAAGTTCGCCATCTTTGTTTTAGTTGGAACACTGATCTCACGACAATTGACGCGGGAAGAAACTGGACTGTTGTGAAAAGTGCAAAAACCCTTGAAAACTCAAATACAAGCCTTCATAATATAGCAACATGGGTTACAGTCATTGAACTATAAATAAACTGGAAGGCTAACTGCTATGATGAAGGCCTATGATTTGATGAAGCCAAAATAGTTTTTCTGAGTTATGAGCAGAAATACTTGACCCCAATCGTCGGGCTATATATCAAATTGAAGCTATTGAAAATGGCTATTCGGTGTGGAAATTTCAAGACTTCAGCGAAAAGAAAAATATTTAAAAAATACAAAAACAACGGCAAAACGGCAAATTATCGGTAATTATGTTTGTAGTTTTTCAATATTTCCCTTTTAGCTAAAGTCTTGAAATTTCTACACCAAATAGCGTTTTTCAATAGCTTCAATTTGATATATAGCCCAACGTTCAATGTTGAGTATTTCTGCTCATAACTCAGAAAAACTAAAATGCACTGGCTTCAATTTCCCCCCCTGAGTTAGCCTTCCAGTTTATTTATAGTTCAATGGTTACAGTACGTACACTGGTTTAATATAGACATATGAATATACTGCCTGCTTGCAGGCTAATAGGAGTAATGAGTCATCATGTCTCGCTGTTTATGGCTTTGTAACCCTGTCTGCTAACCCAAATAGCCATAAACATCATAAGACATCTACATGCGGCCCTCTCAAAATCCAAGTACAAAATCATTGAAGTAATGCTATGAACATTAGATGGGTTTATTTTACAACATTTTCATTTTAACAAATAAAGTAGACATTCCACTGTTTGGCCATAAACGTCTTTGGCAAATTTGTGAGTAATATCAGTTGAACCAGAACCAACAATCCTTTGCTTAGTCAGAACCAACGATCCTTTGCTTGCTAGACACCATATTTACTTCCAATTTCCTTACAGGAAAAGCTAATCAACATACAGACCTTTAATCAAAAGTCACGTTTATATTGCTCAATATTGAAAACTTCGATGAGTTTGAATATCATCCAACAGTTGCTGCAAGTCATCATCCTCAAATCTCCCCTCAAGACTGAAAAAAAAACAACTTTACTAAAACACTCTCAACTACATATATTTCAATGAAAATTGTAGTATAAATATTCTATAAAATTATCATAAGCACAGGTTAATGCATGGTTTAAGATATTATAATTCCTTAAAAGCGAGAGTATTTTTTCCTAACTGTTGTTAGACTCGGAAAAAGTTAGAGCTGTGCGCTGGAGCCCGGCCGGAAAACTCCGGCAGTCAAAATTATGAAAAATTATTTCATATTTCAATGAACTTTTGGTAATGGAAAAATTAACTTGAATGATTTGAAGTTACTATAAAGTTTAATTACTTGCTCCGATCCGATTCGTGGTTTGGAAAATTCTGTAAGCACATTGCTATCGCTTTTGATACAAATATCTGCTTACCCCAATGACAATGTATTTTGGGCGAAAATACCACACTGCCATGTGGTTTTACTTTCTACAAAACATTGTTTAAACAAGCACCGAAGCACGTATATTTGAAAAGTAAGGGAGAAAGCTCAAAAAGGAATAAAATAAATTCTGAAAATACACTGAAATACTTTTGCCTGCTTCTACTTGTAAATATGAAATTTCCTTACAATTTCCTTGCCGGAGTTTTGACTGCCGGAGCTAAAATAACCAGAGTTTGCACAGCTCTAGAAACTGAAAAAGTCCCAGGTATCATTTACATAACATGCACCCTAACACAGACTGTTTAAAATGGATTGCATCAAACCTTGGTATAAGAGATTTTGCTTCTTCTGCTGTTTCAGGACAGAGGTTTGCAAGGCATGCCAGTTCAAATTTATGAAGCTTCTTTTTTCCTAGTAAACTGGAAATGAGGAAATTTAAGAAATGAAACACTTGTCTTGCTTTTTTCAAAAATATTTGGATAGTTTACAACTCATGAATAGCAAGTGTTTGATGGTGTGTTGTTGGTCATTCCAGAAAACATCCATACCTCCCCCACAGAGGAAATTGGAAGTTAACCCCAGTACTACAATCAGAAATAATTTCTACCGTCCCCCTCTCCCTCTGGATGGCAGAAATTTCCTCTTTGGGGGCAAGGTGTATCTTTTCTGGAAAAACTCATTTCATGGCATGTTTTTGATTACATGTACAGTACATAATGCTTAATTTTTGTATTTTGAATGAACTACCAACCTTCGTACACTGGCAATAGTTTCACGGTTTTTATATCGACTAAATTTCTGTGTGTGATCTAGTGTTTTCATAAAAACTTGTGAGAGTTCTTGTTCATCCTCTGGGCCATCACTTTGACCTTTACGATGCTCCAGCAACATGAACACTTCAGAGTTCAGAAGTGTCTCTGCATTTTCAAACTCTAAAGAATCATAAAATAGTATAATAATAATGCTCCAGCATGGAAAGTTTGTATAGTGCAACCAATATATTGAGCTACTTTTCATATATTTACAATTATAATATCTTGTGTGCACAATTTCTAAACTTGTTAAGAAATTTTGTTAGGAAAATTATTGTTTGTTAAGTTAATTTTGTCTGGTGGGAGTCTTTGATTTGGAGAACAATGCATGGACCACCTTCATTGTTCGGTTTGTTCAAGAAATTATGGAGTTTATCTTCATTATTGTCAACATTCGGCGGAAAAAAATTTCTCACCCAACACGCTGGCGGGAAATGTGGTGGGCAAAAATTATAGAATGCATAGTGTGATAGTGGTTTCCAGTCAGGATCACAGTTGAAGGTACTAGGTAATGAGAACAATTGAGAGTTGCAACCTTGTTTGACTCGTCATTCTCGTAGCCGCAGCCTGCGATACGTAAAAAGATATTATGAGTTGTTTAAAATTATGAGTTGTTTTAAAATTATGAGTTGTCTTATCTTGAGCATCTTAGGAAACTTAATTTATTGCCTATATCTTACTGGCTTGAAATAAAGGATCTCATCTTTTTTTTCAAATGCAAACAAGGCCTCTATGACCTAGATATCTCCTCTTTTGTCACCTTTTCTTCTAATCGCTCATCTCGCACCTGTTCAAGTAAGGACAACTTGCTTCAAGTCAATCTGTGCAAAACCTCTCTTTTTAGAAACTCTTTTTTAACCGAATTGTCTTTCTATGGAACAATCTCTCTCCGGTCATTCGTAACAGTTCGTCTGTTTCATCCTTTAAGCTCCAGCTCCATTCTCACTACTCTTCTCAATTAGACTCTTCTTTCGATATTAACAGAATGCGCACTTGGAAAACCTTCTGCTCTAAATGCCGTTCTTTCAACTTAAGCTGTTGCTCATAATCTAAACTATTAATTTTTATATAGCTATGTAAATAGTGTTCTAGTCCTTGTCTTTAATGTATGTCTACTTATTGTATTGTATTGTATCAGGTTGGTCTTCACATGGGACTCGTGTCCTGTTGACCATACCTTCAATCATTTTTATAATTTTTGCATGATTGTAAAGTTAATAAATAAAATATATATATTTGAGGTAAAACGAAAAACTATATATATATATATATATATAGCTTAAGATTTTGGTTTACGAAACACAAACAGTGCTCAATACCATATAGATAGAGCGTAATATAGTTTTTCGTTTTACCTCAAAAAACCACAACAGTCTGTTTCATCCGTATAGGAAGGAATTCCTATACGGATGAAACAGACTGTTGTGGTTTTTTGAGGTAAAACGAAAAACTATATATATATATATATATATATATATATATATATATATATATATATATATATATATATATATATATATATATATATATATATATATATATATATATATATATATATATATATATATATATATATATATATATATATATATATATATATATATATATATATAGAATTAGGTTTCGTTGTTTACAAAAACATTTGGCAGAGTGCTCAATGGATATCCAGAGCATAATTAAATAAGTGCAACGACTCAACAAATTCCACTACACTGCAAAAAATTCTGAGTAGAATCCACTCAAAAAATTGAGTAAATGAATGCACCCACAGTGACACAAAATAGTGAGTAAAACTACTCATAAAATGTGAGTAATATTTACTCAAATTTTTGAGTTAATTTACTCAAAAAACTGAGTTGAAAGTACTCAAGTTATACACATTTACAGTTACTCACGGTAGGAGTAAACAATAAATTACTCAAACTTTGAGTAAACGTACTCAAAATGTGAGTAATTTTACTCGAAATTTGAGTATTTTTACTCAAAAAAAGAGTTCTAGTTACTCAAATAAAATGCACCCATAGTGACTCCTTATTTTGAGTAAATGTACAGTTTACTCAAACTTTGAGTAAATTTACTCAAACTTTGAGTATGTTTACTCAAAAAAAGAGTTCTAGTTACTCAAATAAAATGCACCCATAGTGACTCCTTATTTTGAGTAAATGTACAGTTTACTCAAACTTTGAGTAAATTTACTCAAACTTTGAGTATGTTTACTCAAAAAAAGAGTTCTAGTTACTCAATAAAATGTACCCATAGTGACTCCTTATTTTGAGTAAATGTACAGTTTACTCAAACTCTGAGTATTTTTACTCAAAAAAGAGTTCTAGTTACTCAAATAAAATGCGCCCGAAATGACTCTCTATTTTGAGTAAATGTACAGTTTACTCAAACTTTGAGTACATCTACTAAAAAATGCTCCATTAAAGTAGCAGACAAAAGTACTCCACAGTGTGCCACAGTAAGGAACAAAAGTACTCCACAGTGTGTTACTTTGAGAAACAAAAATAATTATATTTAACAATTATTCGCCGAAGGCGAGGTGATTATCGGTGAATAAAAACTGAGACGAAGTCGAGGTTTTTATTCACGATAATTACCGAGCCTGAGGTGAATAATTGTTTTAGTATAATTTCATAGGTGATTATTTGGAAAAAAATAAGAAAATACACATTTCTTCGTCATTTAATTGACAAAAAGGCTTCGGCCGCCATTTTGAAAATCGCTTAGGTGATTATCGCGTAATAATCACCTCAACGGCAACCAATCAGCGTGGAGAATTTTCAATAATCACCTATATAATTATACTAAATACTATTAATCGTCAATAGAATTATGCAAGCACAAACAATATTTTTTGAAGAATAAACGTTTATAATTATTAAAACCTCCCACAACTCAACAAGATTTTTAAAATATTACTCTAGTACACTGAACTATATGTATACATGGATGGAAGGTTATTACTTTAGTGACTTTAGCCAAAATGGCGGCTCGATCGGGAAGTCATTCTCGGACGTCAATTTTATAATAAGTTGCAGACTTTACTGTAATAGTTTCAGTTGGCAGGTTTCAGTTCGTTTGAGCTGATAAACCTTCAATGTACAGTATATATAGTTCAGTTGTACTGTAATACATGCATCTACATGCACCAATTGAAAAATGAAATACAAAGTCTTAAAAGATCAAAGAGGTAATATAAAACAGTTTTAATATATCTATATATATATAGTGTTTAATTAAGGCCGTGAGGCAATTTTTGGTGCAACTTGCAATGCAACTTCTGGCATATATAGCAATGTTATGTAAAACGTAATCAGAGTAAATTTAAGGTCGCTGAATCTCAGTTAATACTTTTTATGTGATGTTATTATAAATATACTATACATCAATCTATGTGGCAGAAGTTGCAACAAAAATTGCCTCGTGTAAGATTGCTTAAAATGGCTATAGCACATTTTAATACTTAGCAGTTTCAATCATCATCTTCGATCATAATTGTATTGAGCTTGTTCACAAATAGGTTATCACAGAAGCCAGTAGCTTCTTGCTGTTGTTTATGTTTATGTTTAGTAGCTTTAGTACATAAGACTACCTGGGTACTGTCCATATAAGTACATAATTTGTAGCCACAAATGCCACAGCTACATCTACCAGCCATCTTCAGAAGATATAAAGGACCATGGTTTCGGCAACAACGGCCATCAATCTCGTTGCAGTCGTTGCAGTTTTCAATGTTTCCCTTTACCAGAATTTGGGGGGTTACCATGCATATTACAAGCTGACAGCATCCTCAAAGCTTACATCCTTATGCTAAAATAAGAAATATAATGAGATTACACATTTAATTTTTATTTACAGCATGCCTGGCACAAGCATGCAGTATATATATTATAAGGCCAAATTAAATAAAAACTTGGCATCACCGCTCGCCTCTCGATTTCTGCTGCCTCTTTTTTATGTAAATCTCTTCGTTTTACAGCTTAAACAGTTTAATATTTGAATGCTCAGACCTTCGCGCTATATATACTGATCGATAGGAGCGTGTGGGCTTGGGTATACAGAATTCTTATAGTAAAATGGCGCCATTCGCAACATCAGTACAAAAAATTTCACTGATATGGTAGAAAAACCGCCCCCATCCCCCCTTTAAAAATTTAAAAATGACTAAAAATTTAAAAAACACTGCCCACCCCCCTCTAAAATATATCTTTCATTTGCTACCGGTATACACAGTATTTGACCATGCAAAATAGAAAATTGTCAATATTTATACAGAAGGTATATATATCCATGCATCTCCCCTTTCATGATCATGCAGCTTGTTTGACCATGCCACTCAAATTGGTGCTGCAGGTAAAAGGTGGCAAGTACCAGCCTAACAAAACCACCGTAAACTGCATCAGCATATATTTGTTCCCACTGATAGATGGCTTTAAGATGTGCCACCTGAGTGAGCTATTGGTCAAAGGCGGCAAGTACCAGCCTTACACAAAAGCTGAAAACAACACTAATAAATAAAGATCAAAATTCAAAACAAACTGTATTGTTGTTTAAGTTCATTACCTTTGCTGTTTTAACTTGCATGTTCATTTTTGTTTAATACTTAAGTAAAAATATATATAAAGTATTATGCAAGTACATTTTGGTTCATGCAATATGCTAAAAAGTGCTAAATATTATATAGATAGAGCAAAATATACTGTATGTATATATATAATGCTAACCTACTGTTTCTTTCATTTGCTATATATTTGACCATGATGCAAAATAGAAAATTGTCAATACAGAAGGTATACATTCATTATTTAATATACCGTATATACTTTATATACGAGTACATTTTGGTTCATGAAATGCTAAACAGTGCTATTTTTAAATTATCATATAGATAGAGAAAAATATACTGCATGCATATGTATATACTAACCTACTGTTTCTTTCATTTGCTATATATTTGACCATGATGCAAAATAGAAAATTGTCAATACAGAAGGTATACATTCATGCATCTCCCCTTTCATGAGCGGCTTGTTTGACCATGCCACTCAAAAGAAGTGCTGGTAAAAGGCGACAAGTACCAGCCTTACACAACAACAGTAAACTGCATCAGCATGAATGTATACAAGCTTTGAATTATGCCATAGCAATTCCCACTGACAGGTGGCTCTAAGATGTGCCACCTGAGTGAGCTATTGGTCAAAGGCGGCAAGTACCAGCCTTACACAAAAGCTGAAAACAGCACTACTAAGATCAAAATTCAAAACAAACTGTATTGTTATTTAAGTTCATTACCTTTGCTGTTTTAACTCACAAGTTCATTTTGTCTAATATAAGTAAAATTGTAATTATTTAATATAACATATATAATTTATATACAAATACATTTTGGTTCATGAAATGCTAAAAATGCTATTTTTAAATTATCATATAGATAGAGGAAAATATACTGCATGCATATGTATATACTAACCTACTGTTTCTTTCATTTGCTATATATTTGACCATGATGCAAAATAGAAAATTGTCAATACAGAAGGTATACATCCATGCATCTCCCCTTTCATGAGCGGCTTGTTTGACCATGCCACTCAAAAGAAGTGCTGGTAAAAGGCGGCAAGTACCAGCCTTACACAACAACAGTAAACTGCATCAGCATGAATGTATACAAGCTTTGAATTATGTCATAGCAGTTCCCACTGACAGGTGGCTCTAAGATGTGCCACCTGAGTGAGCTATTGGTCAAAGGCGGCAAGTACCAGCCTTACACAAAAGCCGAAAACAGCACTACGAAGATCAAAATTCAAAACAAACTGTATTCTTATTTAAGTTCATTACCTTTGCTGTTTTAATTAACTCACAAGTTCATTTTGTCTAATATAAGTAAAATTGTAATTATTGTAATTGTAATATATATAATTTATATACGAGTACATTTTGGTTCATGAAATGCTAAAAAGTGCTATTTTTAAATTATCATATAGATAGAGGAAAATATACTGCATGCATATGTATATACTAACCTACTGTTTCTTTCATTTGCTATATATTTGACCATGATGCAAAATAGAAAATTGTCAATACAGAAGGTATACATTCATGCATCTCCCCTTTCATGAGCGGCTTGTTTGACCATGCCACTCAAAAGAAGTGCTGGTAAAAGGCGGCAAGTACCAGCCTTACACAACAACAGTAAACTGCATCAGCATGAATGTATACAAGCTTTGAATTATGTCATAGCAGTTCCCACTGACAGGTGGCTCTAAGATGTGCCACCTGAGTGAGCTATTGGTCAAAGGCGGCAAGTACCAGCCTTACACAAAAGCCGAAAACAGCACTACTAAGATCAAAATTCAAAACAAACTGTATTGTTATTTAAGTTCATTACCTTTGCTGTTTTAATTAACTCACAAGTTCATTTGTCTAATATAAGTAAAATTGTAATTATTGTAATTGTAATATATATAATTTATATACGAGTACATTTTGGTTCATGAAATGCTAAAAAGTGCTATTTTTAAATTATCATATAGATAGAGGAAAATATACTGCATGCATATGTATATACTAACCTACTGTTTCTTTCATTTGCTATATATTTGACCATGATGCAAAATAGAAAATTGTCAATACAGAAGGTATACATTCATGCATCTCCCCTTTCATGAGCGGCTTGTTTGACCATGCCACTCAAAAGAAGTGCTGGTAAAAGGCGGCAAGTACCAGCCTTACACAACAACAGTAAACTGCATCAGCATGAATGTATACAAGCTTTGAATTATGCCATAGCAGTTCCCACTGACAGGTGGCTCTAAGATGTGCCACCTGAGTGAGCTATTGGTCAAAGGCGGCAAGTACCAGCCTTACACAAAAGCTGAAAACAGCACTACTAAGATCAAAATTCAAAACAAACTGTGTTTAAGTTCATTACTATTGCTGTTTTAACACACAAGTTCGTTTCTATTAATAAATCCTACTGATTCCTCCTTTACTATATTTCGACTATGCAAAGTTAAAAATCATGCACCCCCTCATCTGAGTCAAAGATTTCATGTAGAAAACTGTGGAAAAGAGACTTCCAGAGTCAACTTTTAAGGCCAACCATACCTCTCATACATGTTACAGTAGATATAGTAGCTGCTGCGTGATTATTGGATCACCGTTCTGCATAACCTGCAATATTATTGACTTTCAAGCTGTTTTAAAAATATGAAAGTAAAACCAACCTTGATCGTTGAGCCAAGCTTGTCCATCAATCATATTGTCTAAAAAATCAGTGAATGTCATCTTAATTATTCTTTTCATGTTTCCCTTTAGTTTCTGAATGGCGAATAACAGTTTTACCATGCATTCGTAATAGGTGTCAACTTTTAGCGTTACAATATAAAGCCAACATAGTAGGATGAATATTATTGCCTTCCTATCTGCATATAATTTGGAATTTAGCCGTTGGCGAGCAATTGAAAATAATTTTCACATTGGGGAACATATAGCTACTCACATATTGTCACATGCGACCCTTTGTTATATAATAAACGTTATAAACCTAGGCATAATATTTACACTCGGTCTTTCTGCATGATCAATCTGATGTTTGGCAATGATCATATTACTAACAGAAAATTTCGCACGAATGGTGATTCAAAAGAAGGATTTTACGCGCAAACACCATAATCAATGCTGTACAGTTAAATAGCACCTAGCGTTTACATTTTTTAATAGATTGGGTCACAGTGCGGTGAACATATACTGAAAATCTGCAGAAGATAGTGCCGGTACATATGACACACCGGAGGCGTTTCAAAAACGCGGCGCGATTTTTGAATTTTCAAAGTAAATGAAACCGCTAACGAAAGGAACGTTTAAAATATATATACCAAATGACTCAATATGTTAGAGCGCAATCTTTGAAAAACTTAAATCCGGATCAAAGTTACATATATGTCAATGAGAATCGAAAAATAGCGCCGCGTTGCCGAATTGCGTCGTCTGTCTGCTCGCGGCACAATATGCCCATCGTAGAACATACCTTTAAAACTTTCACAGTAGTCGGCAAAGTCAACTTTGATCAACCACTCTCGAACGTCTTTCTTTAACATCTTCAACAAATAAATTCTTGTTGTGTTCAACAAAAATTGGATAACTCGAGCGCCTTTACAGTGAACACGTTGACTGACCGTGGACAGACAGATTGACAGAATATAGGATGCAATTTGACTATGCCGCGTTTACAGCCCGCATGGATTTCTCCGTCGATGATTGGTTAATGGCTGGAATGACGTTAGTTATACTATAATTAGGAAGTTTGTAACAAAGACCCACATCCTGTATAACACTTCTCGCTAGACGATTTATGAAAAGGGAAAAGTGTGACAGGACGTGTGTGTATTGCTAGAGGATTAACACGAAAAGAGCAAAATATTTTGCTAGATTTAAAACCTGAATCAGTCTAAACGATTATAATATTATCTATTAAGAATTAATTAAAGTAAAATTCCATTTATTATTCAACTTTCTGTTGCAGGACTTGGGTTAAGTCAAGATTTTTGGCAGTGGCTATTCTGAAGGTTGTGTCATTATTACTAGTCAACCTTTGGTAAAATAAGTAAAGTTTTACTTGCGATGGGAAACATTATATTTCCAGCCCCTTGGCATCCACCAAGATTTGATAATGCAAATAAACTGTTCGTTGTTTTGCGCTATGGATTAGATTGCTTACAATAAACTGTTAATATTTGCTTAACTTGAAAGTTGCACAAAATAATTCAGATTTATGTAACTGTATAGCTACTGATATGACATAATATGAAAATTGGTTTTGTTAATCAAAATGTATTAAATGGTATATAGTTTCATACTTAGTTTGTTTACAAGATTTGTCATAAATTATCGGTATTATATTAAGAATTTGAGTTGGTGAAATTTACTCAACCGGGCTTGACTACTTAGTATAAGTAGAGTAAATGTTGTCATTTACCGGCAGTGCTGAGTAAATTATACTGATCTTCTTGAGTAAAGCTGTTGTTTACTCTTTACTCAAAATTTGAGTACATACTTCATGCATGTACTCAAAAAAGAGTAAAGATGTGTATTTACTCACAATATTGAGTTGGTGACATTTACTCAACCCTTGAGTAAAGTAAATTTTGTCATTTACTCAGTGCTGAGTAAATTATACTCATCTTCTTGAGTAAACTGTCGTTTACTCTTACTCAAGATTTGAGTAAATTCTTCATTTACTCAAAATTGAGTAAAAATGTGTATTTACTCAAAATATTGAGTTGGTGACATTTACTCAACCCTTGAGTAAAGTACATTTTGTCATTTACTCAGTGTTGAGTAATTTATACTCTTCTCTTTGAGTAGCAGTTACTCAAAGAATTTTACTCAAAATTCGGAGTTGTTGTTTACTCACGTTTATGAGTAAAGAGTGCAATATACTCAAATTATGAGTAATTGGTGCAATTACTCAAAAAATGAGTAACATTTACTCAAATGAAAAAATGCATTTTTTTGCAGTGTACTGTAGTTTGCAATTAAATGATGTTTTGTCAGGGCCGGCGGTGGAACACCTCAAGACAGAGGAGGTTGGAAGCCCTTCCCGGCATGCATTGTAACTTATTCATATTATCGATTTCCCGGGACGCGCCGTTATTGTTCGACTGGCTCTCGTTGTGTTCACTACTCAATTTGCAAGGAGCGGTATTCAAAAGTACAAATTGAAAATTGTAGATCATGGCGAATTTTCGTACTGTTCGTGGCAACAAAGCTACTGATTTGGATGGACGTGACAATCTTTATGTACATTGTGTGTCGAAAGAGCGCCTGGAGCTGCTTCGTGAAGGGATGTCGAACTTCTAGTTTTATGGATAACGACAACATTTGGCGTAAAAGTTGACCTTAAGGTACGATTATTTTATGATTTAATTGGTGGGAAAATGGGCCATTTATCAGTACTCGGAAATCATACAAGACTACAAGTATTTGAATGTCAAATGAGTCAAATCTATTTTAATATCATATAAGCAGGGAGGAGGGGCAAGGGGGCCAGAGTGCACTTTGTGTTATAGAAATTCTGCCTGCTAAATCTTATCTCCAGTTTTGGGCAAAGTCATGAGGTGTGAACTTGAATGTGATCTGATTAAGTGTGTTTGTGCAGTTATAGTTCCTTGAGTAGACTTTAATTCCAGAACACAGAACAGCTATCGTCAATGGAACATGCACAATCAGGCTTTCTTTGGCAAGTCAACACATAATTATAAAGGTGCCCTTGCCTGTTTATTGTTCCAACGTCCCTGTATAAATGCATCAAACCTTTTTTTACCTGTAGGACTTATGTTGTGTTCTGTTGTGGGAGTTTAACATTATTCCATCACCAACTTCTGTAACAATCAGACCACCCAAGCTGGATATTTTAGAGGATATACTGAATGACCTACCACTGGTGAATTTTGATGAGCCATTGTTATGCAATTGCATTAAACAGCCATTAAATCCTATGTGTTTAGTTAAAATTCATGGTGAAGAGATGCCTGGTGATGTGGAAAGTATTGGTGCAGAAGGTGGATTTGCAGACATGGACAAGATTGATGAAATTCAGCAGTTGACCCAATTATTGGGTGTGGAACAGGCTACTGATGATGCTAAATACATGAATGATTCAAGCTCTGATTAGGAGGATGGAGACAAGGATTCTGAAGGACAAGGATTGTGGAGGAGACACATTGTATCCTGAGAATTAAGACAAGGATTGTGGAGGACACTTTGTATCCTGAGAAGTTTGTTGTAGCTGGTTCCTGGCAAGAACAAAGATACCATGCAACTTGTGATAATCATGTACAGATGATCAAAAAATCTCAAGTTGAAATTTAAAGTAGAACATGAGCAAGACATTTTTAGTTGGGATTTTCATATAAATTTATTCCTATTAAAATACTGTTATTATTTCAGGTAAATATTTGATATTAGTATTTTTGCACAAGAGAACATAACAAATGCTACATGGTGATTGGTCAAATTTGACGTATTAATCTGTTATATTATAACAAAATCGAAATTTTCAAAATGGCAGCTAGCTGTTTTGTTGAAGTTAGTAATAAAGAAATAAGCGAAATTAAATGAATTCAGACCAGAAAAATACAAAAAACTTGTGCAAAAATACTAAAACAATTATTCGCCTCAGGCTCTGTGATTATCTGGGAATATTAACCTTGGCAAAATTCCTTTTTCAAATAAATAAATGTTTTCAAATTCAATTTCCTGTGTTTGTTTACTGAAGTCATTGTGCATGTGTTCTTAACACTGTTTTAACAGCTGTATACTTAGCACAGATGGATCACTGATCTAAATATGGATCCAGTATGATGTGGTAGGGAGGGTGCTCAGCCAGCTCTGGTGCCGAGTTGTGTCTGTCATGTGCGCCACCCACCTATCAACTTATTTGACTACAGCAAAGTCTTGCTTGACTACTAGTAGTATTGTAATTGTTGTTAACAAACAGTTTACTTATCATCATGTTATTACTCAAATTACTCATTTTGTCTCCAATACTTTTTGCTTTATCATGAAACCCCTCCCCCCCCCCAGCATACCTTCTGGCCAGGGCAAGGTGGGGGGTGGTCATATAAATGGGTTGGTCATACATAATTGACGTTAATAAAATGCTTTATTCAAAGTTAATACTTAAGATTTATTGCAACATTTTCATGTCACCAATACACCAGTATTTACATGTAAAATGTCTACTAAAATATGTATCTATTAAAAGGCTGGTATGGGCAAATTTATATAATAGGTTGCTCTTATTATTCTGGTTCAATAGTTTCATTGCTTGAATCAGTTGAATGGATCATGAGCACAACTTGGCTGGATTAGATGTTATACCATTTGCCAAAGCAGGATGTAGGAACAGTTTGATCAATAACAGTTCTAAATCAGCATTAAATTCATAAGTTGAACTTTTCCCATACTTAGGATCAACAATATAAACAACATTGCCATCATTATCAGATTCCATTTTCGCAAAATATATATTTCGAATTCTATAAAAATAATGGTAAAATGCAGTGTATTTAACTTAAATGCAGCAGTTAAACTCAACAACGATTGACATATATGCGCATGCTGCGAAATAAAACAAAAATGATAACGACTCGTAAAGTCTCGGTAAAGTAATTTTGCTCGCGGCATAATTCGAGTCAGCTGGCAGTGCTCAGAAGAAGCATTCTCATTGGCTTAGAGGGTTTTAATGAGTTTTGCATGCATTTTGATCACAGTATAGGGATTTTGATCTTATATTTTGATATGCTATGAACCAATAGAGTTGTAGTTGTGGTAGCAGTAGTAGCAATGGTAGCAGTTGTAGCAGTAGTAGCAGTAGTAGCAATGGTAGCAGTGGTAGCAATGGTAGCAGTGGTAGCAGTAGTAGCAATGGTAGCAGTGGTAGCAGTAGTAGCAGTAGTAGCAATGGTAGCAGTGGTAGCAATGGTAGCAGTGGTAGCAGTGGTAGCAGTAGTAGCAATGGTAGCAGTGGTAGCAGTAATAGCAGTAGTAGCAATGGTAGCAGTGGTAGCAGTAGTAGCAATGGTAACAGTAGTAGCAATGGTAGCAGTGGTAGCAATGGTAGCAGTGGTAGCAGTAGTAGCAATGGTAGCAGTGGTAGCAGTGG